TGTGGAGTTGCTTACTGACCGGCCGCTGGACGGTACATACACATGTGCAGGCCCAGTACAGCTACACTCACATTCAACCTGCACGTACGAACAGGAATTCAAACAAAAAGCGACAAAAGTTGTATCCTCAACATATGTTCAACTATGCATGCTTCCAGACCAACATGCAAGTCAGGCCAGGACACTGCCATTGACAAGGCATGTCTTCTCGGACGCACCGCCGTCGCATCACCGTGCCCATCAACAAGATCATCATCAGCAGCAGCAGCATTATCAATGTCATCATCACTATCATTATCACCAGTCCTTCCATCCTTATCTTCCTCTTCCTCACCGTCGTCTTCATAATCATCAGCGACTTCCTCACCCAGCCTTTTCTTCCTCATCATCAGCATCAACATCGCTCCTCCTCAGCATAGCCATAATCAGGACCGTCTGTGAAGATACCGTTGACAACATAATCGTCAGCATTCTGCCGACACCATCACAACCACAAGCATCCCCGTATTCTTCTTCACCATCGTCCCTTGTCATCCTCGTCATGAATACGGTTACGGCATGTTACGGCCACAAGCTGAATCCAAAGTCAAGACTTCCGATGCTACGCACACATCCCATATGGGAAATAAGGGGTACCGTATTTTGGGGTCCGTATAATAAGGGGCCTACTGAGTACTAAATACGGCGGGGCTATTTTCGGAAACCTTCAATATGCCCCGACGTTTCTGAGGAAATGGCAGCTTCTCCCCTTGGAAATACCCCCTGGGCGCCAGTGGTTCAAGCTTGGAAGATGGGCATAGAGGTTATGTAGGATTTAAGGTTTAGGGCTCAGGGCTGTTACTTGGCCAGGGTTCCGGTCCGGTGACAGGGATGCAAGCTTTGCATCTACAGCGGGTCCGATAAAAGAAGAAGAAGTACAAACAACCCTCTAGTGGATAGTCGCACAATCCGAGCAGGCTGATGCAAGTCTTATGAGATACATTAGAAGGGGCCCCCACCCTGTAATAGTGACCATAAGGATTATACAGGATTATATTAGGGCCCTATTATATTCCTATTATACCACTATTACAGGGTGGGGGCAGCTTCTAAGAGATACATGTCTTGTGCAGGGTCTGGAAGACAACTCTCCCTGTCACCCGTCACTGAAGCCCTAAAACCTAAATCCCGAAACCGCAACCCTAAACCTTAAAACCCTAAACCCGAAACCCCCAATCCTAGATATGCTAAACCCTAAAACCTGAAACTGTAAACCCTAAACCCTTAAATCCTAAACCCTAAACCCCTAAACCCTAAACCTCAAAACGTCACCCTAAACCCTAAACCCTAGAGCCATCCTAAAGCCATACGGATGGTTTCATGGAGACGGAAGGCGCTAAATAATCAGAAGAAGTTCTAGAAGTGGAGGTAGTGGTTCTAGAAGTAGAGATAGTAGTAGCACAGCAATTAGTAGTAGTAGTAGTAGTAGTAGTAGTAGTAGTAGTAGTAGTAGTAGTAGTAGTAGCAGTAGCAGTAGCAGTACCAGCAGCAGTAGCAATAGCAGGCGGCAGCAGCAGTGGCATTGCTCCGCGTCGGGCTGCAAGAAGAGGAATTTAACCTCAATCCGGCTTCAACTGAAGAGCAAACCGAACCCCGAAAAAACCCTCTTGTATCAAACAGCCCCAAACTAATGCCCAACAGCAAGACAGACCTTTAAACAAGAAACATGCTTGTATTCATGAACGAATGTGATATGTATGTGTATATATATATACACACGATAGTAACCATGTATGAATGTTGCTCATGGTTTTCACATGTGAGGCTACTGTAGGTATGGAAATTCATACCACTCTGACCCCTCGACCGAAACTGCGCACAACCGTGAAACCCCCAGCCGTGACGGGAGCCCGGACCCCGTTTCCGGGCGTGGCTGCTTCAACTGGGCCCACACCAGACTGTCTGGTGCTTAGTAGGGAAGGGGGAGTGGATCCCTATGGTAGCCCCTATGTAATTCCCAATAATCGTCCCCATAACCATTTCCCCCCTTCCCTACTACGAACCAGAAACAAGAACTTGAGTTGAGGTTTACCTAAGGGTCCATGTGCCCAAATAGTATACACCTTGCCCCTAAAGTACCCATTATATATGGGTTGCTGTCAAAATTATGGTCCTTTTTTGGGCCCCCCTAAATAACAGGTGCCGTATTATAATAAGGACCCAAAAAAGGGACCCTAATTTTGACAACCACCCATATATAGGGGTCCACGGAGCCCTTAAAGTTTCGGAGCTCCAGGTTGGGTGGGCTTCGGATATAGGCTTCGGATCTAGGGCTTAGTGTGGTTGTTGTCGAGCTGCTGTATGTGGGTGGCTGTCAAAATTAGGGTCCCTTTTTGGGGTCCTTAATATAATACGGCACTTGATATTTAGGGTAGCTAAAAAAAAAATCTGGATTTTGACAATCGCCCATGTCTTGGTTCAAGACTTCTGAATTCCTTCTTGACTGCCCCAACTTCTGGAACTTAGTAAGTAAGGTCAACAACACCGTTATAATTCGGATGACCCCCTGGGGTACTTCTAACCCCAATCATGAGCCTAGCTACCAAGTCACTCGAGACCTTAAGGAGGCTCAACGGTTGAATACGGTTTGGAGGGTAATGGTTTAGGGTTTAACTTACTTGTCCAGTATCGTGTCCCAGGGAAACTAAGGTTAATCGTTGGGATTATGTAGGGATTCTAGCAATTACAGTACCCCTAAGAAGATTAGAGGCGAAAAGGCTACATATTCGACTACTAGGTTGACGAGCCCTACTCAGCATCCGCCAAGATTGGAAAGGATGATCAATGTCCCCAACAACAGCTTGCAAAATCCTATAAACATCTGAACGAAGTTTGCCAAGACCCGTCTGCGGTCACATCCGACTCGGCGAAACAAAAAGACATAAAAAGACTCTCCACCAACCTGTTTAGCCTCAACCCGAAACTCCTATATGCTAAAACCCCCAAACAGTACACGACTCCAGAGCTTTACAGTATGTAAGTTGACCTTCCCCTCCTGATAGAATCCAATGCTTCTAGAACCCCTTTGGATGCCTTCCTGGACCCTAAGCCCTACACCATAGCTTGAAGATAAAAAGATGATCTGAAGTCTCACACGAACGGACTTTTCGCTCTACGGATAAGAACAGATACTACGAGAGTCTGGCCTGCCACGCTGCGGACATGCACTGAGGTTTGACCTAACAGGTGCACACCGAGTCGGTTGGCTTCGAGGCAGTCGAGCTCCGCTCTGACTGGGACGTCTGCACAGGCTGCGGGATCATTGTCGGATCTCTTGCAGCTCATAAGGTTGATCCATTTGAAGTGTTCCACCCATGACTGTTTGAAGTAGAGACCGTGAGCAGCTTCCTTTCGTGAGGCCGTCGGCAACCATCGATCGCGTATCGACCCAATAAAGGTAGCGAAGTCGCTGCTTCACAAGAAGAGCCCTCAGCCAGCAAACATGTAGCAAGAGGCTTGGTTCAGCTGGAACCTTGATGTTCGGAGCAATGACTGCTGTGCTGACAGAGCGCGCATCAATTGCTAACCCCAACATCACCGAGCATTCAAGCTCACCCTCGCTCAACTGCTTAGCTGAAGTTGGACTCAGCACACCATGCTTGAGTTCATGTAAAGCCACAGTATGCAACAACCCGATGTCAGCAGCATCGGTCGATGCAAAAAGCTCAGAAGAAAACGTCGATCTCGTCACGTGCCTCTGGGCCTTACTTGCAAAGTCCACCAAATGACAATGCGTTGACTTTAGCCCTTCATTGACCCCATGAGCGCTAACCCGGACACTAACTAATCCCCTAACCGATAAACCATCTTCAGCCTTAGCCTTGTAGGAAGAATCGGATATCTGGAGGAGCATGTCTGGATAAGGCATCACAGGATACTGGATGCTTCGAGGGTTCGCTTGAACCCAAAGAAGCAAAGTGTTCAAACGCTTCACGTGCACTATGCGGGCTTGGTGCGATTCGCGCTGGAGCGCTGTAATGAACACTGCAATGTCAGGGCGCGTCAGCAAACCATATGCCAACGTCATGAGCAAGCTTAAGAAGTGTCTACGGGCCTCTTCGGGCAACAGTTTCTCGGCAGGACCGCTGAGAGCACTCGGTTGCGTGATGGGCTTGCACGCAGCCAGAAACTTGTTCTGGTCCAAACTGATGCTTCCGTCAGCTGCTTGCCGATGCTGGATGCCACAAAACGCGAACACGTGCCATTCGATGTCCATGCGGCCAAATGTAGCAGTGAGGTGCTTCACGAACTCTTCGATTAACCTGCGAGGCCCAATCATCTTGAGGTCGTCCACGTGCTTGATGATGGCCATGACAAGCTCATCAGACTGATGAAGCAGCTCTAGTTCTGAATCCACGCTTGAACTCTTGAACCCGAACTTTTCAGTGACCTGACGCAGTTTCATGCTGAATGCTCTAGGAGCATCACGACAGCCAGTCCCCGGCTTGAGGCAATGCAAAGCTTCTGTCCTTGGGTTAAATGTCGCAAACTCCGGCAGCATTTTCAAACATGCGAGGCCTTCTCCGGACAGTTCGAAGCTCACGTCGCGACGAGGGCGGTCGGTGGCTTCAGCCAGTTCATCGTAGGATACTCCTTGAAGAAATGCCTTTGGGACATCGGAGGATGCGATGACCCATCCGCGAAGGACGCATTCGCTGACAAGTAGCCGTTGACTGAACCTTGATGCTGTCGTGGCGAAGTTTGACTGATCGTCAGCGCCGCTTTCTTTAAAGCCTCTCAAACAAAGCCTAGCCCTAATGGTACGAACACCCTTAACGTACTTCCACTTGTATACCCATTTGGCATCGATGATACAAGAGCACTGGGAGCGTGGCTTACGTGCGAAACACTTGAAGCTCTGCCAAGTCTTGAGCTCATTCAGCACGGCTTGAGTGACTTCAGCGGCATGCAAGCGAACTTCATCCTGGGTCAGCAAGTCATCTGACCTGTCGATGACTGCTTTCCTGGTGTGCGTCTCATACATGCGCACTTCGACATGTTCACCTTCCTCAGGTAGGCGACTCAAGCCTTCAACAAGCTTACACATGTCACCGTACACTTCCAAGGCAACATACGCTCCGACCTCATCTGCATCTAAGACTTCTGCTTCCGAGGCGGTGTCTGCACAGGCGAGGTATGTGGACATTTGAGCTTCTGTTGCCCAGGAGCTTTCAGAATCTCCGTTGACGGCATGCCAGTTAGGGATTTCCGCCTCACTCATGGCGATCAAGTTTCGCCTTGAGCACATACTCGGAAGGTCAATGTTCCCAGGTGGATGTGGAGCAGGCTCAGAGCTGGAGGCAAGGTAGGCCTCGGTAAGCGACGCCGCGTCCTCTGGAGGAATGGAGTCTCCAAAGACTGCACATAGATCACTCCATGCGACAAAGCTTTCGGACTCGGCGCCCTCAGACTCCTCAGGCACTGTGGAAAGGCGTTGCACAGAGCCGGCTTCACTAGAGGTGGCTACAACGGAATCCGCGGTGGGACTTGTCCATCGCACGGAAGTAGCCCAGCCTTCATCATCAGGGACACAGAGAAACTGTATCAAACGAGCATCGGACCAGGCTTGACTCAGGAGCTCAACAGTTGAGACTCTGGAGGCCTCACTGTGTAAGAAACTGATGTTCCGACTCCCAGGAGCAGACCACCACAGCAACAATGTATTGCTGTATTCTTCGCGTGCAGTGAGGGTGCGCACAGCGTGGGCTAAACGAACGGCCACTACACCAGAGAGCTGAAAGACGGTTTCAGCGAGGAACATACACGCACGATATACCTCACGATGGGCTTCAGTCTGAGGAGTCTCGGTCCATTGACCCGCTGATGTTCGAATGTGGCCCAAAGTCAACACGGTACCGTGCTTGAGGCTGTCGGTGTACGTCTGAACATACTGCTGTGCATGGTTGGCTTGGGAGCCGGCAGGCGCAATCAGGTCGTCGGCTCCAAAGAAGGCAGAAAGCTCATCAGACAGAAACGTTAAGCTATGTCGCACGTCCTGCAAACGGCATGTTAGCACCTGGTCTGTGCTCGTACGAATGCCTATGCGGCCGTGCTCAAGCCTTGATAGATCGACAACTGTGCTTGGGCCACGCCAGCCTGATGAGTCCTTGTTCAGAGGCTCACGCCAGTAGTCCACGGCATCTCCGACTTTGTAGTCTTCCTCAATGCTTGATGGTCGAGTCGGCGTCTTCAGCGCTCGCTTCAGTCTCTCCCGAGCAGTGCCCTCAGCAATGGTCTGCACTGCAATTTCTCGGAGCCGGTGTGTATGACTTGAGCACCGGTCAGGCACTCCATCAGAAATGAGGCTGTCATCACTTGGAAGGATTGCTGGAATGCGGCCCAAGACAGCCGTGTAGGGAGACTGACCATTGACATTGGTGAGCGCGTTCAATGCGAAAGTCATTTCACACATCATCCTCTCAAAGGGGACGCTGAGGCCTTCCTCCTGCAGTTGAGACGACAACTTGTGCAAAGAATCACGCAATATGGCGATGCGCCTGTCTGCAATGCGAGTATGCTGGTTGGGTGCTGATGTGCGCTTGGTGATGCCCCTCAACTGAAAGTAGGTGGTGCTTTCTTCATCATCCAATCCGCCCTCGCCATCAAAGATCAAGACTTGCATAGGACCGAACACTGAGATCCATGCTCGATCTAGGTTGGTCAACAAAGTGTTGGTGGAGCGGTCGGACACAAGCGCGGTGGCACACCACCTTACACCCCTATCAACCAAAACCAAGACTATGTGCTGTTTGCCTTGGTGGCGGTAAAACATGAGATCACCTTCAACCTCAATGTTAAAACCCACTATCATTCGGCAACTCGTCTTGGCGTCCGCACTCGGCCTTGCCCATCGCCGACAGATACGACAGGTGTCCACTATCTCCGGGACTAGATCCAAGACGTCCTTTCCCAGACCAGCGGCTCGCAACAAACTGGTAAGCTTCTCAGTGCCACAGTGGTACCATCGAAGATGCAGCTTGCGAAGAATTCTTCGCCGGCCAGCTTCATCAGCGTGCCTTAAGCCCCTGAGCGAAGCCTGAACATCAAAGCTAGACCAATCTGACGGTGCTTCAGTCTGCACTTCAGTGTCATCCCAAGTACGCCGCACCCTCGGTGCGACATCCGGCCCACGGCCAGGGCGCGTTTCCGCTGCACCTGGTGGGGCCGGCCCACGGCCAGGGCGCGTTTCCGCTGCACCTGGTGGGGTCTGTGGACTTGAAGCAGGATTTTCTGAAGATGACGCGGCGCCTAAAGGTCGAGATGGCGCTGATGGTTCTGAAGGCACTGACCTTGCTCCTTCTGCGTCCTCTGCATTATGTTCGGCTTCACGTCCAAGGCTGCTGGCTCGCAGACCAGCAGTGGGCTCAGAACTAGCTGGGATTCGCGCATACGGGCGTTTCCGCACCGCTTTGGCACGCTGCGATGTAAGCACATGTCTACAGTCTGGTCCGAATGTATGGCCTTCGTCAGACCTGTTCCTCCTTGCCTTGCAAGCGGGGCAATCGAAGATGAGGGCTTTTACGTCCGGATGCTTGCATTCACCTCGGATTCTAGTGTGCATGGGGTCATTCTGCTGCAACCTCCACAAACAGCCTTTGCACTTTCTCCATGCCTCACCCACAGCTACCTCCCCCTCATCTGTGGGTCCCGTGGCCACTGAAGGGAAAGCGTTGAGTGCTGCATGCGGCTCGTCAGTGGTAGACGTGAGGTGGCACTGATCTCGGTCACACAGCTCGCGCATCAGCTGTTGGACGGCATACGCCATGCGACTGCGCATTGCCGGCGGCCAGCGCAAGGGTTGCACTGCGGCATTGCCGCGCATTGGTGCATGCACATGTAGACCATCGCACCCAAGATTCTCAAAGGGCTTGAGCAAGGTAGCACTGTTGGCGACAAGCTCAGTAGGTCGTTTGAATGGTAGGCCGTTTAGTAGCTGACCTGTCATGCACTGATGGAACACAATGCGGCGGCTGGTGGAGTCCTCACGCACTGCTGGCCATGGGTGTGTGTTGTACAAATCAGAAGGATAGGGCTGCTCGATCAAGAAGAAACGCTGCTGCTTTGACTGCTCGGCGGCTATGGCTCCAGTGAGATTTGCAAGTGAGGGTGCAGCAGCATGCTGATGTACAGGAGCCATGAGCACAAGCAATGGCTTTGCTGTCGCAATGTACGCGAGCAACATGTGCTGAGCAGCAGGATCCATGGCATTTGCGTCCGTCATCAACTCAAAGCTACGACCTGACTTCAGCTGCCGTCGCACGCAAATCTGAGTCTTGGAGGTCCCACCCCCTAACAGCTCAACAATTTCAACACCGTTGCCTGCGAATGCAGGCTCACTTAAGATTCGCTGCATCTCTTCAATGTCGACTGCAATCATCGTCTGATCTGAACACTCAGCTGGGTCAACGTAAGGGCAGCCGCACTGCGACCAAGTTTCGAAGGCATTCACTTGCGGTTGCACAAGGCATGCGGCTCGAGAGAGCGACTCTTCCTCAGAGTCGGAGGTGAAGGCTATAGGATCCTCCACAGCAAGAGCACTGAGGCTGGTGAGATCCTCCCCGCAATCATCAAAATGCTGTTCAACAGGTTTGCGCCTGCGCTTCGTCAGGGCCTCAACACCTTTGGCTTTCTCAGCCTGCTTACGTAGCTTCTGAGCGATTTTGGTATCCGTAGGAAAGGACTCGCAAGAGCCAGGCAGCTCAGCAGTAGCCGGGCTCGGAGTGCTTTCAAAGCGTGTGACTGCACTAGTCGGACTGGTAACAGGATATGCCTGATCAGCTCGGTGGGGTCCAGTGCACTCGCCACAAAATTGGCAGCCTTGCTTGTTGTGAAGAAGGAGACCGCACTCTGTACACGTGTGATAGTTCGTGGTGGCAAAAGAGACGTGTTTTGAGGATCTGACTGATCCAGCAGCTAACGACGGAAAACAAGGAACCGAGTCGGTTGGCTTCGAGGGCCCTGAGCGGGCATCCAATGCTCGGCTCAGGACGGTAATGATCTGCTCCACCACAGTCTGCTCGGCCGCGGCGCGGATACGGGAACTGCCAGCTGACTTGTCATCCAAGTCAAACACATGTTCTGTGGAAGGCGGGCAGTTGCAATCATGACTGGGCAGCTTCAAGCTGCAGTACACCTTGTGTTTGGCTGCGCTTGTTGCTGCATGAATACGTGCGCCAAACCGGCACCAACTGTGGTGGCTCATGAAGTAACGGCCTCGGTCCAAAAGGGCTTGGACTGCATTGTGCCGCCACGCTGTACGGCGGGAAGCGGCAAGCACAACAGGGACCGACTGACGTTCGGCCCAACTGAACACAACACCTAATCGACTGCAAACCTGATTTGTCCTTTCGGCACCTGCGAACTGACGAGGGTCTGTGACATCCACCCACACAACATCAAACTCAGAGCCTTTAAGCCTACGCACTGCATCATCGAACCCATCGCGCAGGAGCTCAAGTGGCCTCAGCCGGAACGGCTCCCAGCCCTGATTCATGAAGGCGGAGACTGTGGAATGAAAGATGGTGATCAACAGCACTCGCTTAACGAACTGAAGGCTAGGGAGACCTGGTGACTTCTGAGGACCACGAGGTGATGATGGCGTGTTGTTGCTGGCCTTAGCTCTGGCAGGTGCGGGACTGCGGACTGATGGCTCAGGCTGTTGGTCGGCATGAGATCCTGTGGATACGGCAGGTGCGGGACTGCGGATTGATGACTCAGCCTGTGGGCGAGCGGCAACTGGCTCAGGTATGAAGTGTGCTTGCGTGCAGCTTGGCATCGCAAACCCAAGATCACGGAGACACGCGAGGGAATTTGCTGGCAGCTTGTGATAGCCACCAGTGGTGTGCGCAGCCAAAGCTACCCTGAAGCCACGCGTCCAGTGTGTGGTCGCGTGCTTGGCCTTCGGGCAGAATGTAACTGGACAGCCTGCGGTCAGCTTGTGAACTTGGCCGGCGATAGCCTGGGAACCATCCTGACGCACCTCAACTGCTCCAGTGACTGTGTCACCGGCTTTCAGCTCGACCCACAAGTCACCTCCATGCGCAGGCATCTGTACGGGCAGAACCGTGTTTACACCCTTGTTAAACCGGTCCATATGCACGGGGGCAGAGCAGTTTATGTTCAACATCACAGAGGTGAATGACGCCTGCGGGGCTGTGCTAGTCAGCATGCGGCAAATGAGCTGAGACAGTTGAGGGCGTTCTTCAGTCACCTTAGTGAGGCCTTGATCACCGCCATGCGTATAAGCACCAATACACACGCTGAGACCTTGCTGTCCAAACCTTCCCTGGGTTGTTGGGTTAGCGTCATGCCAACCACGACACAGCTTTACCAGCAAAGCTGACGCAGAGGCATAGTCATAGTTTGCAAGCACTTGCCTGCATTCGGCCTCCTCAGCCTCAAGGTTACTCGCACTGAGCGGCGTGTTCAAGAAAGCAGCCTCGCCCTCATCTGCAAACAAGTGGTGCTCACCGCGGGTTGCAGGCACTCGGGAGGTGCAAGGCAACAGAAGGTGGCCACTCACGGCTGATTCAAGTTGAAAGGTTTCTGAACCTGGCGGCAGGACTAGGGTCACCTCTCCTGGTGCCACAAAATGCAGTTGTTTCTTGGCCATATCCAAGATAGCACGGTTTTCTTGCAAAGACCTGAGTCCCAACAATGCTGGACAACCACTCTGGGAAACAACAGGACTCGTGAAAGATCCTGCGGTGACGGACCCGTCCTGACGCGTCAAGTCGATCGGAAGAGTGCAATCCTCACGGCAAAGCTGAGCACCTTTTCCGACTCCTCCAACCTGGAGCGGTGAGGCACGAGATTTCATGGTAGGATTGCGTTGCATGCTCATAGCTGCTTCTGTCAACCACTGCTCACCAACAAGGTTGCCGTAACTGCCGGGATCCACCAAGAGTCCTACTCTTCCATCAGACAATCGAACATTGCTATGGTAGGAAGTCTGCTCTGCGGCATCGGCCGGCGCAGAGGTGTGAGATGGCACCGGCCACCAGGGGAAGCTTTCCATAGGCGATGAGAACTCCTCTGCATCACCTTCCCGGACAGGTGTATGGATCTCATCCGCTTCAGGGTCACCCGAACGCTCTGCAGGCGCTGGGGATGCTTCATTACGATGCGGCGGCTCGGCCTGTGTCTCAGGTTGACCGTCAGGCTGAGCTTCGGCAATGTGAGGAAATACCCATGAGTGCCTAGCGGAAACCTCTGCACGGCAGTTGGGGCAGGAGATAACAACCTCAGTCTCGGACAAAACGTCAGAGCGCATTGCAGCTTCTCCTACACACATGCTGTGGAAGACATGGCCACACGTCATGCGGCACACAATGTCTCCCGGCCGGAACTCCTCGAGGCAAATCGAGCAGGCATTCACATGACCATGAAACTCACGAACAGGCTGGGCACGGGCTGCTTCGCTGACAATTGGGGCTGCTGTCTGACGGCTCGTCTGTCTCTCGGCCCTGAATGCAAGGACTTGACCAAACATCGTAACCGCTGCACTGGCTGATGATGTTCCAGGGCCAGGCGCGTCAACGGGTGGACTAGCCGAGGACAGACCGGCACGCTGTGCAAAGATAGAGGGCACCTGCGTAATGTGGCTGGCCCGAGATAAGCGGGAATCGGCTCTAGGCTGGTGCTGTCGTTGCACACTCGCCATAGCCTGCTGGACTGGGGCAAACCACACCGGGGCAGTCACATCTGCTGTTGAAGCGCGCATTGCGGCCGGCAGCTCAGGCGGGGGCTCAGTTGGACTAAACCCTAGAGACTCACCGAAGGACTGCCTAGACCCTACGCTACCTATGCCAGGAATGTCCCAGCTGGTGGCAGCAGCATTCGGACGCAGCACCGTGGACGAAGCATGCTCGGTCTCATCATGCAGCCACTGCATCCAGGGGTCTGCGTTCAAGGTCCACGGGTCAGGGGTCAATGCATGCTCTTCTGCTGGGGCAGAGTGCCCACGCGCAGAACCCTGGGATCCAGTCCTAGGGGCTCGGTGACCGTCTTCACCGTGGCCTTCAATCCTACTGGAAGTGACCGACCTAGGAGTAACCGGAACCCAGGAAGAACCCTCGCTCTCAAACGCGGCGAAATGCATTCCTGCAGGCTCTACCGTGAATGCCGGAGGGGCTCTCTGAGGCTGTGAAGAGCTGCTGGAAGGCTGTGGGTTATCACTACGTTGGGGACAGCGGGCTCTCAAGTGATAAACAGAACTGCAGATCGAACAGCGAAGCGGCTCACCATCACGACCCTTCGGGTTCTGCTTCCTTCCGAAGCCTTTCCCACTGCTTGATCCGCCCTTACCCTTTCCCCGAAAGTATGCGGACTGCTGAAGCAAGGAATCAATGTTGAGGTAACTTCGCTGCTTCCCTTTGCCTTTGCCCTTGCGCTTAAGGACACGGCGCAACGATCTGACAGGTTTTCCCGTAAACCTTCTCCATCTCTTCTTCGCCTGCTGATACTGCCCAAACAAGTACTCATCTGCTTGCGTGCTGGACATGCCTTGAAGGTCTTCAAGAGGCAACGGCTCATCGCGATCTGAGCTGGTCTCCGAGTCTGTGCCCGAAGCATCTGTGCCAACAGTGTGGGCTGCGAAGGCCCAATCCGTCCCAGACGCCGGCATGCCCATATCCGCGGCACCATCGCCGCCCAAGCCTGATCCAGTCCAGGCCTCAGCTGAATACGAAGATCCTGTGTCTGCCTCAGCCATGTAGGTGTGGCTGAAGTGATTCTGCTGGCGCAAGCCTGAAGCTATGTTGTTTGGGTGGCGCTCAACAATATGAGCCATCCTCCGAAGATGATGGCACATGTTGCTGAACTCCTGCTCCGTGTTCGGCAATCTCAATCCAAAAGGCTGTGTCAAGGTTTGAAACTGCTCGCTGTTCACACCACATGCTCTCAGCAGTATGAGGGCCGCTGTATCTGTGGAAACAGCGCCGCCCCCTTCTTGCCGAGCCAGTTGGCGAGTGATGTCGAAGCGAGAAATCAGCGCATCCACCGATTCACCTTGCCTACGGCTGAAACTCAGGAGATCCTGGGCCGCTCGCAAGCGGTTCTCTTCATCCAGCGGCGCGAATCTTGCCGACAGCCCATGAAGGAGGAAACTGACAGGATCAAGGGCCTGACCATTCACAATTCCTCCATTGTACACCTCTTGAGGCGTAAGCTGTCTCGCAAGATCGCGTGCTGGGCCTCCAAGTTGGGATATGATAGCAGCTGCCTGCTGGGGTGGCGCCAGGTCAGTACATATCGTCCATAACATGAGGTCCTGGAGCCACGTCCTGAAAGGCAGCGTGGATTCCATTGCAGGCTCCCATCGTGGAGGTAAGCGCAGTGTGTTGTGGGCTCCACCGCCTCCTTGAGGCGGCTGAAACATACATCCAAGGTAAAGAAAAGAACTGATGCACCCAACCAACCATACGAACTTCTGTACCCGGCGCGTCAGCAACCCAAGTGCTCCTCCAGGAACCTCGTAACGTGAAGGAAACTTCTCGCGTGCGTGCGCGCTCTGTTCGTCTGGAATGCGGCTGGGACTTACGACTGTGGCCTCACCAGTCGAGACGGACGACTCTCCACGACTTCCATCTAGACTCGTGAGGCTCACAGCTGGCCCGGACAAAAGGGCCATGACTACGACTACGTAAGTCTGGTGCATCATCGCCCCTGCTCGTAGCAGAAGCTCCGCTACCAGCTTGAAGATAAAAAGATGATCTGAAGTCTCACACGAACGGACTTTTCGCTCTACGGATAAGAACAGATACTACGAGAGTCTGGCCTGCCACGCTGCGGACATGCACTGAGGTTTGACCTAACAGGTGCACACCGAGTCCATAAAAGCCTAAACCCTAAACTCCTACACACCTAAACCCTAATCCCTAAACCCTATACTCCCTAAACCCCAAACCCTAAACCCTAAACCCCAAAGCCTAAACCCCTAAACCCTAAAACCCCTAAACCCAAACGCCAGAAGTCGGCTGAGGGCCAATGCGTCGCCGAAGTCGTCGTGCGCCTTGGGGTCCCAGAGCCTCGCGTCCCAGTCTATGTAAGGGGGTTTAAGGGGTTTAGGGGTTTTATTGGTTTACGGGGTTTAGGGGTTTAGGGCTCCTTTAGAGGGATACTGTAGGGTTTCCAATCCAAGTCTCTGTAAGGGCTTAGGGGGTTTAGGGTTTAAGGAGTTTAGGGGTTTTAGGGGTTTAGGGGGGTTTAGGGGTTTAGAGTTTAGGGGTTTAGGGTTTAGAATAAGGTTCCGATAGAAGGATACTATAGGTTTTCCTTTTAAACGGGTCTATAAGGATTATTATAAGGGCTATAGCGAGTCTCTGTAAGGTTTAGGGTTTATAGGGTTTAGGGTGTAGGGGTTTAGGATTGAGGGTTTGGGTTTAAGAGTTCTTTCAAAAGGGATCTATAAGGGTTCTTTCAGGGAATCTACAGGGTTAAGGGTTTAAGGGGTTTTAGAATAGGGTTCCTCTGAGAGGATAGTATAGGAGGGTTTAGTGAGGGTTTTAGGGTTTGGGGTTGAAGTAAGGGTTTTAAGGGTTCCTTTACAGGGATCTATAAGGGTTCCTTTAAGGGATCTATAAGGGTTTAGGGGCATTAGGGCTTAGGGATTTTAGGGTTTAAGGGTTTAGGGGTTCAGGGGGTTTAGGGGTTTGAGGGCTTAGGGTTGCAGAATCCCTGCGGCGTATGCTGCAATGAAAATGAAGACACCCGGAGATTGGGCGTTGCATCTTGTGGATCCGGTCTGATCTGGCCTTGAGGATGGCGTTCCCTTAAAGGCTGCTCTAGTGGGTAGTTCGGGTGATGATATAAATCCGGGGTTTCCTTCAAAGGGTTCTATAAGGGTACCTGTAAGGGGTTCCTTTAAGGGATCTATGGGGTTTTAGTGTTTAGGGTTTAGTTTTGTGATATAAATCCTGCATTACCCATAATAAGGAAGACACCATAATTCCCATGGTCTAAGGTCCTTAAGGTAATGCAGGATTCATATCATTAACCGCTTTAAGGGGAAATTAGGTTGTAGGGCTCTAAGCGATAAACCCCTTAGACGATCAACCCCTAGACCGGATCCTACGTTTGACCTACCTGTTCGAGTATAAACGCATCCCCAAAAGGGGTTGATATGGTTGTTTTAAGTGCATCCCAAACTCAACCTTGAACCTTAAACCCAAACCTAAACCCTAAACCCCTAAACCCTAAACCCAAACCGAACCCAGGACCCTGGCCTGTAGTGAGGGATGACGGACAGGCGCTTGGACTCCGTCTCCGGCGTCTCTTTCGTCTCATACGCCTTGGAGTTTCCGTGTTCAGGCTTAGGGTTTACTTAGAGGATCATGGGACTTAGTAAGTAGGTTATAATTGGGGCTATAAGTCCCCTAAGTGGGGTTATTAGAATTATAACCTACTTATAACCTTACTTACTAAGTCCCATGAGCCTTCAAGTAGGGTTTAAACGGGTTTAGGGATTAGGGCAGTTGGGGGGGTGTATAGGCTCAATGGCCATCATCGAACCGCGAAGACCCCCTGACTAACCACCTCCGTTCTTCCAGCACCGAGCGAGTGAAGAATCCCACACACCCAGTAATACGAACAATGTCTAAGGAGAGCCAAGGGAATACCGTTTAGAGAGATCCCAACATGGTTTTTGATACACTACCATGTGAAAGCTTCTCGAAACAGGCTTCTGGACCCAATGCTTGGGTTTTGCAAAAGCCTGCATCCCAAACACTAAACTCAAGTCCTTGCAACCAAGCCTTTTCAACCCTAAACCCTTGACCCTCGACTCAACCCTGATTTCTAAACCCCAACCGCAAAGCAACAACCAAATCCCAACACCCACTGTTCACCCTGAAACCTAGAACCTGCATTAAAAGCAGACACACAAACAAAAAAGCGCCGTTGCATTCCCTGCTCCTTCGAACTGAGGGTTGCACCTGAAGCTCCTGCTTCACAGCAGCTTCGCCTGCGACTCATGTAGGGGCCTTAATAGTCAGAACAGGGCTGCTTTGGGGCCCATTATACTATAACTATGTATAGGCAATTATTAAGGCCCTTATATGAAGTCTCCGAAGCCCACCCCACTCTTCCGGCTAAAGTTAGGGTTTAGAGTTTCTGGTTGTGCTAAGGGTTTAGAGAGTTATGGTTTATAGGGCTCGAGGAGTTTAAGGGTTTAGAACATTGGGCTTACTAGTAAGATTTCGAGCTAGGATGAAAAGTACCAGTCTAAAATGGTGCAACCCAGAGAAAAGGTGTGCATAATTCAGTATGCTTTACTTACATGAGGGGCTAAAACTGTGTACATTCGTTCCAAACACACTACATACTGAAATCAATCTTACCATTGCTAGCTGCTAGAGGCTCTATCGAATGACCAAGCAAGAGCCGTTGACAGCCTTGCGGCGCGTCCTTCGTGGCTTCCTTGAGTCTTTCTGCGGCCTGGGACAGGTCCAAATGTTAGGGCGGCTAAAATGTTGATTTGAATGGCAGACTAAGTGACTAAGTAGTCTCCGCAGCCCATCTGATGAACCCTACTTGCCAAGTCACGGAGCATCCAAGTAGCACTTGTCTTCCCCGAACCCCAGAGAACCCTGCTACAACCCTATAGCTCAAATACACAGCCCTGCTACAGCTGCAACCGTCGTAAACCCATAGAACCCCATAAACACTCTTCGAAACTACTACAAACCCTATTCAAAATTTAAAACAAAATCTTGCCACGCACCTTTAAAAGAAAACAAAAGCACCTCTCCGAAAAAAGCTGCAAGGCACCCAAGGCCTGCTTCTCGGCCTCCTTCTTATCCTCGGCAGGAAAGCAAAGCCACTGGCAGTGAAGACGAACGGGTCTGGCGGCGTTTATGAGCTAGGGACTATGGATTCAAGAAAGTTTAGGGTTTGGGGCTATAACCGCATCAAGATGTGTAGAGACTCTGTATGCTGAGACAGACGTGGAGGTAGATAGGTCGCTAAACAGATGGATAGATTGATAGACATGTAGATATTGCCCTGGCTAACTTGCCGAAACAACCCGTTTAAGGTTGCTCGAGGCATACGATGCTGTGGTGGCAACCGGGCGCCGGGCAAAGGCATATTTCTCCGAGTTGAAGCAGCCGGTAATCTTGATACCGGACAGCTCCTCACAGCGTCTTTGGTAGGTTTACGAGGCTTTTAGCCTAGACTCTGAATGGTAGACTCAGGGCTTAGGGTTCTAGGGTTTTCATCCGGGCTGGGGCTTCAGGATGCTAGGATTTTAAGCTGGGGTTCTGGCCTTTCGGAGCTTCCTCTTGTTGGATACCCAGAGACTCCACTATCCCTTAATTACGGAATATGCCGTAAGCTATACAATAGTAGGATCTCGGATATGCTTCAAGGTATAATCCTTAATTGAGGAATATACCTTAAACTATGGAAAGGATCCTGAATTTCATCTAGGGTATATTCCTTCGTTAACTCACTGGCCCAAAACCCAGGGGAGTAAGAGTTGAAACTTTCAGAATCGACTACCGTATAAGAACCCCAAAAGTTGAATTAAGGATATTGGAGTCTCTGGTTACCGGCCGGAGAGACTCGAGGCCGGCTATCCCAAATAGTGAAGTTGAAGGAAAAGTCACAAATCCTGACAGACCAATGCTGAACCGGCCAAACCGAATTAGGGGTTCCTAGCTGTAGGCTCCATAGTAGGTCCTTTTTGTGGCTTGTATTTAAGACCTTTAGGATCCTATAAGGTCATCCCAAAAAGGAACTACAATGGAGCCTCTGGGTAAACCCCAACCCCCCCCCCCCTCCCCAACAAGAAGTCCTTCGTGCCGTAGTCGCACTTTGGCGCACAAGCGAGGCAGTCCTCGCAAGCTTTTTCTTTGCCACCTAAGCGCCGATACCGAACATCAGCCACATCTCACAACCACGCCTAAACCCTATAAGCTCGTCAGACTTACTCTAACTGTTAAGGGCCCTATAAATAGAAAGCGAGTTCGAAATTCTGGAATCTATAGACCATAAGTCCTCTTGGCTCTGGTCGTGCTGCGAGCACTCCCGACATTTCAGCTGCTTGTAGGTCTCCACTGGCCTGTAGGGTTCAGGTGGTTTAAATTGGGGCCTGAGGTGTTAAGGTTTAGGGCTTACATGTCTCACAGTTTCTAGGGTTTGAGCCAAGCGTGTAGGTCTCCAGTCGAATACGCACTGAGTGCTCGATATCGCTGCATCTAAACGCTAAGGAATGGTTCATGAGAGGACTTCAAAGGGTTAGAGTCCCGCTACATGCCCATGGACAAGGCGGTGCCTCTTATGGACCCTGGGCCCTGCACTTAGTTGCAAGAGAAAACTAGATTTCAATACTTTAGCTGCGGATGTATTCCGTGCATCAAGACAGGTTCAGGACCCGTTCGACTGCTCAGAAGACGGTAGCTATGGCCTCGTGCAATTCGGGCTGAAGCATCCCAAGGTTGTTGCTGCAAGGAAGGGGTTTGCTTCCTACGATGCTGCCCTAAACATAACAAGCTTCGACAAAGGAACCTGGCTTCCGGGCTTTGCGACTTTACGGTTGAAGGCATAAGGGCGTTGGGTCCGTGAACTCGCAGCTTCAAGGCTAGTGACGTCCACGTCCATACCTGCAGGCCAACTGCACACCTGTCTCTCATCTTCCCGAACAGAAGGTTCACCACTGTACTCTCGCCCTCGCGATATTTACACATACATCACATATGGTCAAAACATGAAACGCACCACAGATGCCAACATCCAGAACCAAGCTCCAGACCACATCCCGGTTTGCAGGTCTTCACCTTCCTTCACCTCAGGCTGCCATGGGAAGATCGGATATCAAGAACGATTACGGATAACACGGGCAGGGTTCTATCAACCTCACCCCAAAAGCGCTGCAGCCCAAACCCTGTACTTGCAACGGTATGTGTAAACTTTGCCCCCTCACCCTAAATCCGAAACCCCGAACTCTACAGAAGCCGTACATGCTAGAATGCGAAGGCCGCCGGGTTCTGCCCAAGATGGTCCATGGATACTACCCTTCTGGAATCAGGATTACCAAACCATCAAAGGGGTAGTCTTTTGGGACCTCATTCCATAATAGTAATTAGTGTGTATATATATATATACACATATATATATATATATACATATATATATATATATATGTGTATATACCCTCTGACTTTTCCAGTCAAAGTCTGGGTTGTAAAGAGAAAGCGGTGAAGACAAGTTATACCCTCCTGCAAACAGAACACTGGTGCCCGTTTTTACTGCTTCCTGACCTTCGGTTTTAAGTTGCATCGCCGGCCTTCTGCGTTAACATGTGCAGCTGTGCAAAGGCGTTAGATCTAAGTAGGCAGTATGATATACCGCAACATGCCATGCAATGTGCTTCAATAGGCTGGATTGGAGTGTGCCCGGAATGCAATCGTCAATCCACCGGGCGCAACGCCTGTGCATGTTGATTTGGCACCTCCTCATGGGGTGGCATCGATCAATAGACACAGACGGAACAGGTTCCAGACACTATTCTGCTGTCCTTTGTATGCATACTACAACCTTTGCCCATACACCACGGTAGGACGAACATTCCGTTTGACGTACTCGCCACTTGCTGTGTCGTCGAACACCGCCCCCCCCCCTTCCCACTAGAATCCCAACAAGCAGGACACATGGGGCACTCCTTCGCAAGAGTAAAGTAGTACGATTTTGAAACGGCGTATAGAATATCACGTAATTCGGGCCTCCTGGTACCCCGCTACTCCGCAAGAGGCAGAGGTCTTAAGACGAGAAAGAGCCAAAAGCTCAAACCAGATCCTGCCGATGTATACATACACACATACACACAGACATACATACATAGATAGATACATAGAAACACAGATACATACATACAGACATACTGACTTACATATACATATACATAGATATCCATACAGAACTAAAGACGACGCCCACCAACAAAAACTAAACCCTTCAACCCACACAGGACCACAGCGGGCTTGTATCTTTGCGGAAGCCATGTCAATTCTCCTTGTCCAGGGTGTCCCCGGCATTGGAAGTGTTCCTGACCTTTACGGTTCTAGAGATAGTGTTCACCGGTAAGGGTTCAGGGCTCAGAGTTTAGCGGCGAGGGTTCAGCAGCTTCGAGTGAGGAGCTAGGCTCATCACCGCAGAACATGTACAAAATAGAAGCATGTGGCCATGCGGCAGCTTGCAAAGTAACAGGGTTTTCAGATTCTAGTTTGGGGTTTAGGGTTGTTTCAGGAACGGCCTCTCCAAACCTGGTTCTATCGGCCGGCGGATTGACATGTAGTGCATCTAGTGTCTGCTGTCACAGAGAAGGCTGTACAAATCGAACTCGATACTGGTTTGCGGTTTGGAGTTCAGGTTTAGGGTTGTGGAGATTCAATTCGGATAGGATCGGGGGATCCGGGAGGAACACCACAGGATCCCAGCAGTACAAAGCACACACACCACGCCCCCGACCAAGCTGGGCCTCAACCCCTACGACACCAATCACTGAAGTCCTGTCCGCTAGAATCACAGGCCTGAACAGCTGAAGGCCTTAGCCTACAGAAGCAAGTAAGGAAAGCAAGCCGGAGCGACGCAAAGGCACTTCCTCGGCAGTAGACGGAATTCAATTTGTGGCTTTTGGGATCACAAGGCATGGTAGGCTTCGGCTTGCGAGCAAAACGTATCTGTGTAATTACATCATACATACATACATACATACACACATACATACATAAATGAGTACATACATACATACATACATACATACATACATACATACATTACATTACATTACATTACATTACATTACATTAATACATACATACATCTGTATGTATGTATGTAGGCATGCATGTATGCACGCAGCAACAGGATGCGCTCCGTGCTACGGCTGTAGGTTCACAGTTGAGCAACCCCTTTGACAGCCCTATCCCGAATCCCTGAAACCCTGTAATCCCGATAGACACACAGAACGCAGAGTTGCACCCTAAGGCTGGGCCCCTGTAGAAAATGCAGAATCCCTAACCCGCTAATAACATGATCCGAGAAAGACTCAAAAAGTGGTTTTCTTACTGAGGGGGTGTTTTATCTCTACTGCCACATTCGGGAGGAGCTTGCTCATGCTCTAGCTCTTGCTCCTGCTGGGGCTGTTGCTCTTTCTCCTGCACCTGCTCCTGCTGCGGCTCTTGCTCTCGCTCCCGGTCTTGCCTCCTGCATTGGCTTTTGCTGCCGCTCTTGCTTTCGCTCCTGCTCTTACACCCCCCTAGTTCAAAATAGGTTTTACACGGCGGGCATGATTTCAGGGAATATACCGGAAAGTGTCAGTTTTGATTTCGGTGCTTTAATAAATGGGGGAAGTGATTCGTGCGAAAGACGACTATAAGGTAACAGCAAGTGCAAGCATGAGCCCATGTACTCCTACTGGTAGTACACACATGCAAACATACATACATACTTTACTGTCCTGAGATGACCTCATCTTGGCCAAAAAATGGCCCCAGACAACCCCTGCATCCAACCGCTGCAAAGCCACCCGGAGTCTTCTGCACCACACGGCGCGGTTTCGCCAGCCTCCCAATCCATGGTTCATAGGGTTCGGGGATTCAGGATCTACTCCATGACGCTTCGTTACACCCGAAGGCATGAAAGAGCTCCCCCTTGAAGCGGAAAGCCTTCGCAGGGTCGAGAGACGAAGCAGGTAGACTGCACTTTAAAGTAGAAGAGCCCTCTGGGAAGGGCTATGTTGAGGACCCAAATACTTACTTAAGAACGTACCATGTTGGTACTTGAACAAGCTTTGAAATGACACCAAAACGGCACCCACATGCCCGAGTCTTCCCATACCTCGAAGCGTTGGGGGGACCAGCCTGGCTTCACAATTGCTGGCTGTGTTCAGTGATTCAAGCATGTGAGGTTTTGGAGTTGGAGTTTAGGGCTTGAGCTTTAGGGGTTCAGGGTGTGGGGTGTTTATAGACCATTTCTGAACACGTCAATCAAAAGAAACGCGGTACCCACCGGGCTTCAATCATCTTCATTGCCATGTCCATCTGTTGCAGTGTAGAAGCGAAGGCCCCAGAGACAGGGGCATTAACACGGGAACCCGTGAACATACACAGAAATTTACTGACGCTCGCATTTTCCATGGGAGGCATACCTGTAGTCTCCATTGTAGTTCCTTGTTTGGGTTAACCAAAATCTCTATTATAGGATCCTAACCATAAAATTGGTTAACCAAAAAAGGGAACTACAATGGAGACTATAGGTAGGTATTTGCACTCATCGTTCCTAGAATCCTGGAGGCCGAAGAGGTTATCTCAAACCTGATGGGAGGCCGAAAGGGGGGGTTTAAGATTCTTGGGGTTGGGATTCCTTAATATGAAGCCTATCATGGGAACCCTAATCCCTACTAAACCCCCATAGGCCAAAACCCCGTTTGGCCGCTTATGAAAACCCCGAAACAGAGGAGCACCCCACCGACACGATGAAGGCGACACCTGAAGCCCCCAAAGGAACCAGAACCAGAACCTCCCCGTATTATCCCCCACTTGGAGGGGCAGGGGACTTAGTAAGTAGGTTATAAGTAGGGTTATAATTGGGGTAATTCCATTTAGGGTACTTATAGCTCTACTTATAACCTACATACTAAGTCCCCTGCCCCTCCAAGCATACCCGAAACCGTGAAGCCCACCAAAGATCCTAAACAGTCCAAGCAGCAGTAGAACTGCGGCCCAAGGCCAACATCCGTGCACTCACCCAGCGCGTGGCTCGTCCCCCGAGCCGGACAGCCGACCCTGAGAACATCATGATTACTTGTTTTTCGGGTTTCGGTTTTGGGGTTGGTGGGGGCCGCCACTTCGTTCTGAAGTTTAGAGTTAGGGTTTTGGGGGTTTTCGGCCTTGGCCTTCTGAAGTTAGAGTTTGGGTTTTAAGGCCTTTTTGGCATCCAATATTTCGAGTCTTAAGGCCTTGTTTGGTAGTGCGTCGGCTTTCTGGTAGGTCGGAGTAGGATGTTCAGTACTGTTGGGAAATCCCGTACTTGCATATAGACCACTGATAACAGAACCTTGGTGTACAAACTGTTAAGACAGAGGTGCACCACAAATCTGTCTCGCTCTGATAACATGAGGGCGGAATAAACTTGCTCAAGCACATCGTCACAACATAGCTGTTTCACGCCTTGGGTACATGCTCGAACTCATCACGTTAAGATAATATGCGGTATGCTTCCCAGCTCAGACCAATCAAGTGGAATTCGGGAGTTCGAACTCACACTGCTTGTAGCGAAAGCACTGTGACAATCAACCTCGTCATCGATACAGCCATCGACACCGCACCCGGGACTATGAAGAATGGTGCAGTGAGCCCACAAGGGTCGCACACCCCGGCACACCGTCCAACATTTGAGTCGCAGTCAAATCGGGCTGCCAACATGCCCCACAAGACAGAACTTCACTGATTCCGAAAACACTACGCCCCAAAACCTATGAACCCCCTCAACCCTTAACCCCGAACCCTAAAAACGAAAACACCTAAACCCTCTCAAGCCCTAACCCCCTGGAATTGAAGTTAACCCCCCCCGAAGTAGGTAAACAATGGCCCAACGCTTATAAACAGGCTATTATTCTACATCCTTCAGAGAGTCCAGGTAAGCATTAACTTATTAACCCCTCTTCCTAAACCCCTAAACCCTAAACCCCAATCAAACTCGGATCGAGTGGCTCGTATGCGCTGTTGTAGCGGGCGGCAATGGCATCTTTGCCCAGGTCTTCTGCCCTGTAGTTCCTTGGCAGAGGCAATTCCCCTATCTCTCTCTCTCTCTCTCTCTATATATATATATATATATAAAACACACATATATATATATATATATATATGTATGGACACCTTATCCACCCAAAATTACACAAAGCACCCCGTGAATCCAAGACAGAAAGGAGTGTGTCTTTTCTGAGCTTGCGGCCCGTCGTGGTGCAGCCCAAAGTCGCTCACCTTGTCATGGGGCACTCAGTCACTCGCACGTAGAAGCGACTAACTTTGCTCTCGGCCGTTTGCGGTTTGGGTAATGGCGGTTGCATGAATGAAAGCGTAATACCGAAAGCGTGACCATCCAGAACTGCACGGAATAGCACCAGTGTAGACACAGTCTCAGACATTGTGCAAAGTCGACTTCTGCACCAGGAATCAAGGTTGCCGACTCTGTGCGCCCAAAAGTCCTCCAAGGTTTTTATCCTCAAGCACGCATCCCAACTCCAACACTTCAACAACCCCCGCACACCCGAACAGCTTGCCAGATACTCTCAGGTCCAAATCCCAAGCCAGGCCTTCGAGACGCACCGGAAGCCGGGATCGCACTTCACATCGTAGAGGGCCTCTGGGCTTTTAGATGGGAGTTTCCGAAAATATGGGACCCTGATATAATAATATGGTACCCTAAATAGGTAGGATCCTTACTATAAGGACCCCAAGATAAGGTAGGCCCTGATTGTTGGAAACTCCCTCATCCGAAACCCCCCAAAATTCAAGCATGCCAGAACCCGAATCTACACAACCCCCGGCCCAACTCCCCAAAGTCTTCCTACTATTTGCTTCAGAAACCCCCAAAAAATAAAAATAATAATCCCTATATTACCCCCATAAGGAATATACTTTTTATTTTTGGGGGGTTCTTAAGCAAATAGTAGCTTCCTAGCTCCGCAGAAAAAGCCACATTCCCTCCCCCCCGAACCCCCAATTTGTTCACGCATGTGTTTTGGCTAACTTGTCTAAAATGCTCTCAGCCGAAGACCCTAAAAGCGTAAAGCCCCAACATACTCTAAACCCGAAAACTCTAAAACAACCTAAACCCCACCCTGAACCCTAAAACCCTAAAATACCCTGAATCCTAGAACCTGAAAATACCCTGAACCTTAGAACCCAATAGCCCTCGAGGACGGGATCCCTGTCACAAACACGGGGGCCCCACGGAGGGCAGAGGTATCCTGGGAGCGCCTGGCCATTGGGCATCACCATTTTTTCTTACTGAGAAATGTTTAGGCAATGTGTTTTTTGTTTAAACTCCTTTTTCCATCTGCAGGGATTTAGGGAGTTTAGGGTTTAGCGGTTGAGGGATTTTGGGTTTACAGGTTTCAGTGTTTCGGGGTTAGGAGGTTTAGGGTTTGGGGTTTCGGCGTTTAGGGCTTTAGGCGGATGGCCTTCCGGAGTTTTGGATTTGCAGACTTTCTGTGGAGTTTCATGGGAAGGACCAAACCATTTAGGACCCTGAGCTGCAGCAATCATGGCATACTTGAAGGATCATGAGTACCTTAAGTGGGGTTGTAAGCAATGAAAGTATAGTTACCTTCTTCATAACCCCAGTTACTAAGTCCCACGACCCTTTAAGTACTTCTTGTCATGGGTCATGCAGGAGTTCTTTCGTCAAGCTGGTCCTTTGGGAAGTGTTCAATGTGTCTTGTGTTGACAATGTTATGCAAGTGTGTGTGTGTGTACTGTAACAGAACCCGAACGTGTTTAGGGTTTAGTTTGTGGCTTCAATACTACGCATTCTAGAGATTGGGGAAATCAGGTTTCAGGAAGACTGGATTCTCGTAGAATCCATACTGAATCGGAGGCAGGACCGGGTCGCCGAGCTTACGGTCGCATGGGAACCTACCTGCATGTCCTGCTGGTATGATGAGATGCATCCTGAGGACTGGCGGCTCGGCGGAGTGTTGGGTTGGCGAAGCTGTCGACGTAATCTCAAACCCTATCATGGGCTATATAATGGGTATATAATAGCTATATTAAGGGTATATACCTAGGGGTCCCCATTAAGGGTCCCTCCTGTTCCCCTTGGCTAATCCTAAACCGGAAATCGTGAAGATGTTGCCACGATGTCCCTGCAGATGATATTGTAGTATTAACACAAAACACTATTCTAATTCCAACAGTAAGGCCCCTCAACTGCTGGTATAACGATCCTTCTACAACCGAACTCTGAAACAAACAAGCAAAACCACAGACAAAGACACGCACGACACAAACACAACGACCCGATAACAGACGTAACAATAAAACAATTGACAACCAACCAAGCAATCACACAAAACACAAACACGCAAATACCCACACCAACATCCAAAACACGCAAAACATAAGCAAACACATGACATAAAGAAATAAATACACAACACATGCAGTGCAACTGGAAAACAAAAAAACACAACAACCAACCAACCAATCAACCAGCCAGCCAACCAACCACACAAGCAAGCAAGCAAGCACGCAAGCAGGCAAGAGCGCAAGCCAGCAAGCAAGCAGGTAACCAACAACCAACCAGCGAGCCAGCCACCCTTGATGATGGCGACTTAACTTGTTTGATAACGGTGGCCGTGGTGGTGGTGGTGGTGGTGGTGGTGGTGGTGGTGGTGGTGGTGGTGGTGGTGGTGGTGGTGGTGGTGGTGGTGGTGGTGGTGGTGGTGGTGACGATGCTGTAGGTGATCGGTGTGACAATGCTTGAGACGTTGATGCTATGCTGCTGCTGATCATGATATTCCGGCCAACCAGCCGGCGCCGTAAAATGCTACATCTAAACCCCAACACTCTAGCCCCCACAGGGCCATTTCTGGTGGCTCCACCTGGCTCCAATAGCCAGAGCCCGGCCGTAGGCATTGGTTCTTCTCACGGCCAAGCCATGGCGAAATGTGCTTTGGGGTTCAGGGGGTTTAGGGTTCAGGGGTCTAGGATGTATGTATGGTTTAGGGTTCAGGGTTTATATAGGGGAGGTTTAGGGTTCAGGGCTTCGGGGTTAGGGCCTTGGGCTAACAAAGCGGGTCCATATCAGAAGAATCTCGAGATTGTGAGTGATGTAGAAACTCCCTCCTGGCTCCGAGAGCAAGGGCTGAGGTTCCAGGGAAGTTTACTTGGAGGGTTGGGGGACTTAGCAACTGGTTATTTTAAGGACATATCAGTACCATAACCCCAATTAGGGTCCCTTTTGGGCGACCCTCCAAGTAGAGTCGAGTGGTGTTCCAGGGTTTAATTGAAGCATAGGCTGCGCTGGGTTGTAAAGCAATCTCTGGGGTTGCGAAGGACTTACGAGATCCCACTGCGCCTGCAAATGATGCAATCGAAACCTCCCTAGGTTTTACCGACGGATAGGTGGCTGGTCATGACATGCCTTCGCTGCATCTGACCCATGTACCTCCTACGGAAGTCCCGCATGAAGTTGCAAAGGTTTTTGAGCCCACAGGAGGTTTGATGTGGACAGCCTCGCCAAAATCTTCCTGACAGGTCCTTGCAACACTTCAACCGGGGCATGGCTGTACCCAGGATAGCAAACATCCGCGGATACCAGATAATGTCTGAGAGCGGAATCAGAGCACGACAATCCAGCTGACGCCTGGGCTCCGAAAGGAACTGCCTCACGCAAAGACCTGACCGCAGCCTCCTCTTCAGATTTTTGCACGCACTCGCTAGTGGAGAATCAATCGTCGCCAAAGAACCATATACTTGCAGATTAAATATGCATCCTAGGATTCAAACGGCTCTCTCACCTCGTCGGTCTGTGCTGCGCCTTCCACTTCGCAACACAGCTTGCGGCTCTCGGCACGAAGCCCAGCACTAGGAGCTTCAGAAGTGACTACAAGAATGCAGTGCAGTAATGTGTGTCGAGCCTGGCCGCATCCGGGGTAAACTGCTGTGCTGGCTTCTGGAGTCCGTTTTGACAGCCCAGCTAAGATGCGCCTAAACCCAGGGTTAAGGGTTCGCTTCGTAGTCGAACCCAACAACCCAGAACTTCCAAAATCCCTTTATTTAAGGAATATACCTTAAATAATGTTAAGGATCCTACTATAATTTATAAGGTATATTCCTTAATTAAGGGGTTTTGGAAGGTCTGGGAACTTAGACCTGAAATCCGGGAAACGGACTTCTGAAGCTGCAGCTACGGTGGTCCCACTGAGCTCACAGGCATGAGAGTCGCGAGAAGATAGGGAGCTTTAAGCATACTTGGAGGATCATAGGGCTTAGTAAGTAAGGTTATCAGTACCTTAATTGGGGTTATAGGTATAGTTACCCTGATTATAACCCCAGTTACTAAGTCCCATGATCCTGTAAGTATCATGTACAGCATTAGGATTTCGGGTTTAGGTACAAGTAGCTCTGCACTGAACATTCACTGAGTGCCACTGCAATAACCAAGAGCAATAATCATACTCATTACAGTCATAATATGTGTATATATATATACACACACACACACACATATTATGACAAGTGTCAAAATCCATGATGGAAAACCGGAAGGTGCATAATGAGGTTCAATAATCGTACTGCACATGGACGCCGCCAAGCATTTCGGTTCTTGGTGCCCCATACGCGCTGAAACTGGAGGGACACAAGTGTTGATAACGCATTCAATCGCACATGTCGGACACTTCCGGGATTAGGGTTTAAAATTTGTGTTTAAAGGCTTGGGGATTAGGGTTTAGGGTTCAGGATTTAGGGTGTAGGGGGATTAGGGTAGGTATCCAAAGTCAGGAGTTGGCAGGTACATGTCAGACATACGGTTGCGGAGATTGCTCCTAGGGCATTTCTCCCTAAGGGTCCCTGTACCCGTATATATAGGGAGTACTTTAAGGCCAATGTATATAATATATGAGTACATGCACCCTGAGGGTCTGTTTCAATGCGACATTCTGGGTTCGGATTTAATTGAAGTAATAAAAGCGAGTCGTATATCTGTAGATCCTCTCAAAGGCTTGCAAGCTGTTTACCCTTAACCCTAACTCGTATACCAAATCTCATGCCGGAAATGAGAGCCGGTGGGCAGACGGAGGGCCCTCCTGGAAAACTTATGAATGCTCGGCTGCTCGATCAGCAGGTTCGGGTTTTAGGGTAATTATAGAATTTGGGGGTTTAGGGTTTAGGGTTTAGGATTTCGGTTCTAGGTCCGTGCTGCGCTGCTCATGGAGTGTGCTGAGTAGCATGCGTGGCAACTGTGCAGGATTGCGCAAAGCACAGCTGCAAAAACAGGGATCATTACGGTGGTTTTGCTCTGCTTCGCATTGAAACGGCTCTTCGTCGAAAAGTAGGGGGCAGCACGTTACCGCATCGCATGAAGTTGTCCCGAGGGCCCCGAAAATATATGAAAACTGAGCAGCACGGATGCCTGCAGCCTGACTGCATGCAAAGCCTGACTGCTAAGTTCCCTGGCTGAACAATTTGACAGGTTCAGGTCTGGTAGAAGCGTGAGGAATGCTCGGTTTGTATATAATTTGTTTAAGGATCGGCTACCCTGACCCAAATGTAAACACTCACAATCTGCTGTATGGATTCAAAAGTACAAGACACCGCTTACAGTCACTTAGCAAGTCTTCCCATGGCTTTCATGCACTCTTTGGCAGAAACCGATGGAGACCTGCGGCTCTTATTTGTTGTTAATTGATTGCTACTATTACGATTACTGGTGCTATTGTTACTAATACTACAGAAATATTGATACTATTCTTTCTAGTAATAATATCATAACTATTACTACTGGTATTATTGCTAGGCCGCGCAACTGCGGGATTCTGTCAAGAGCCCAAACATACGTGCACCGAGTGAAAGCACATTTAGCCCAAACCCTGTCAGGTAGCAGAAGTTACAATTTTACCCCTACCTGGACCCCAAAAGTATGTAGAATAGTAGCCCTTTTTATAGGTTTTGGGTCATTATTTCAACTACTTTTGGGGGTTCAGGTAAACCCTAAACCGTGACCCGCAAACTTCCCCGGTATGGTAAGAAGCTTATGCTTGGGAATGCTGCAGTCAGCGCAGGCAGACACCATGCTCCGAATGAACACTCACAAGCGCAGCTCAACTACGCTTACACCCAAGCTGTTGAAAAGATGGAAACAAAGTCAGTGCGTCACCAGAACCATGCCAATAACCAACTGCCTAAGCCATTCTGCGGAACTCGGAGTGCTGCGATCACTCACTTGCCCTTCTCCAGGTACCTGGCATTGGCTAACAAACAGGCAGAGAATCTCAACGTTCAATTCCAGAAAATACTAATATGTGATTACATGTTCATCACTACTTACTCATATCGTCCTTCTTCCTATTTGTTGTTGCTGCTATTCTTGTTAACTTATGATTGTAAGAACTGTTGGGGAAAGGAGGGATTTCTGACTCAATAAGAGAGCCAGGGTGCACTGCGCGTTTCTGATACCCCTTAAAAAAATACATTTCGTCTTCATCACCTCATCACCGCGAGTAGAAAAAAGTTCTGGTGTCCAACATATAGTCATATTTTCGTGGAAAAACCCAAGGAATAAGAATGCTATCTATTCAGGCTCTTTGATTATTAGTCCTTACGTAACCCTTCAACTTATACTTCAATGACCGTCCAAGCCGAAACCCTAATCTACGCACACAATGCAAGACCCATACCCTGGTCTGCGATATCTATTTCCAGAGGCTTACTACTCTTGGATGTTAATGGTTGATGATAAAAAAACCCTGCATTACCAATAATAAGAAAATATACCGTAATTCTTATAGTTTAGGATCCTTAAGGTAATGTAGGATTTATATCATCAACCGTAATGACTCTCCCTACCGGGTGACACCTCACATCGTGCAGAGCTGGGGTGCTGCTTCCGCCCCAAACGCGTGAGCCGATTTTTCTGGCTTGCTCGTCCTTGCGATGCATGCTCAGAGCTGCGCGAAAAGGGGCGTCGCCCTCTCCTGACGCAGGGGAACTTCAGCCGTGTGGCTCGAATCAAAAGACCGAAGCCTGAAGAAGACTCAAGCTCACCAACCCCCAAAATTTGCTACCCCTTTGGGTTGAGGGTTTAGGGTTTCGGGTCTGACACACCCATCGAGAAGTGAAGAGAGGGGCACTGTGACCTGCACTCGAGAAGCATGCACCGTCAGCCCGACTTTGCGCGGGAGCCGAAACCCTAAACCCTCAAGCCTATACCCTACCTGGACCCTGTAAAACCTTCCTGGATTCCCCCTTATGGTTTCCTTTTCTACGTCCGTAAAAGCGGTAGTTTGTTCGGGGCTCAGGTATTCCCCAAACCAAAATCCCTACAGCCGGAAGGAGCAGACTGAAGCTTGCAAAACTGTTTTGACACAGTGGGGCTTATGTAAGTTTTGCAAAGAGACTAGGATACCCAGTAACCTAAGAATAAAAAGACCTCTCTTTTTGGTATTGGGTAACTTTATAAGGAACCTAGGACTACAAAAAGGGAATAAGGGTACTACTGGAGATCCTAGGAGATACGAAGCAGACTTGCCGAGTCGAAACAGCCTTCCGGAGCCTTTGCACGAGCCTTCATGACTGGAATGGGGTTTTAGGCTCCCTTACAGGTTTCCTCTTTAGGCTTTCATAAGTTTTAATTGCTGCTTGTAGTATATTGGTGAAAACGAACCCTATCAGGAAAAGTATTCTTATCATAAGACCCCATACTATCTCTCAACCCCAGCAAAGACCTGTCCTCGTCGTCCTTTGCAAACTGCACAGAGGCCGTGAACACCACGGCAGATGCCAGGTACAGGCCAACCTGGCTCACAGGGAGTTTAGGTGTGTTAAATTCATGAGGAAAGGCTTAGGGTTTGGGGCTTGAGGGCGCTAAACCCTAAAGCCCTATACCATAAGCCCTAAACCCTAAACCCTATAAGCCCGAAACCCTAAACCTTATACCCTAAGCCCTAAACCCTATACCCTAACCCGAAACCCTAAGCCCTGAAACGCATACCCTAAGCCCTAAACGCTAATTAATTAACCCCTATACCCCAAGCCCGAAACCCTAAGCCCTTAACCCTAAGCCCTGAGCCCTAAACCGGGTTGAGGGTCACTTGGAGGGGCGGGGGACTTAGTAAGTAGGTTATAAGTAGAGTTTTAAGTACCCTAAATGGAGTTACCCCAGTTATAACCCTACTTATAACCTACTTACTAAGTCCCCTGCCCCTCCAAGTAGACCCTAAACCCTAAACCCCATAGATCCCTTTAAGGAGCCCTGTAGATCCCTTTAAGGAGCCCTTTAAGAACCCTTACTAAGTCCCCTGCCCCTCCAAGCAGGATCCCCTAGCTTGCAGCAGAAGCCGGCCTCCGACAACTCGCGCACCACTTCGGACGAAGAATGCACATCCAAACAGCCCAAGTAATGTAATAAAGGGGCCTTCTTTTGAATAGAGTTCTAAATTAAAGGGGTCCATAAGGGGATCTATAATAGGGTTGCATATTATAGGGGCCTTGAGAATTAGAAACCATATTAAGCAACTCCCACAGTATTATTTAGGCTCCCATATTGGGGGCCCTTGAGAATTAGAATAGGGTTTGGGGTACCTATGATAGCAGACTACTGTTGCTGATAATTCCGACAATATATTCTCAACCCGCACGACCCCGCAACGCTGGACCCCTTAACGAATCCAATTTGGGGTTTTAATAATTATAGTAGGGTGTTGGGGCGATGCGGGCGAAAGCCTGTCAACGAAGAGCGAAACAAAGGACGACATATGCATCCGTAGAGAATGGGTACGTAAACGTGTAAAGGAGATGTCTGTAACTTACTGCATTATGCAAGGAACCACCAGAATAGTCTTGGTAATTACTTCGGCCCCTGAACCCCTGAACCCCAATTTGGGGGAGTTAGGGTTCACCCGGAGACTCCCCCAGCCCTCCAGGTCTGCAGCCGGTCCTCTGCGATGGCGGATGCCTGCAGCACCAGGAAGGGGCGTCCGGAGCCCACGAGGGCCGTGACCTGCATTTTGAAGGGCTAGTTGTTTAGGGTTAGCATCCTAGTGCAGATCGACCAGGGCTTAGCGGTTTATGATTTCAGAGAGCGAGAGTTTGTGGTTGAAGGATTAGGGTTTTAGAGCTTGAGGTTTGAAGGTTTCAGGTCTCGAAACTTCAAACCAATAGCCCATGTGAAACCCAATGGAACCGTAAAAATGCATGGAAAACCTGGACCTAAAACAACCTACGTTTTGGAGGTCTTATACAAGGAAACCATGATAAGGAACCCTGAAAAGGTAGGTTCTTTTGGGTCCAGGAACCCTTTGCACTGGTTTCCACACCAGCAGCTCCGGGATCTGACGTGCTGCGGCACACACACCCCAAATAGCCGAAACCTCCAAACCAAAACTTGGAGGAACCCCTACATCCACTACACGATTGAACAAGAATCCTGTACCCCTAAACCCTATAAGCCCTAGGCCCCAAACCGCTTAACAAGAACACGCGAACCCCTAAACCCTAAATCCGTAAACCCTAAACCCCTATAAACCCTATTAATCCCTACGCCCTAAACCCCTAAGCCCTAAACCCGTAAACCGCTAAACCCCTTGACAAGAATAAGAATGCCTCCTGGAAGGGAGCTTCGCCCCAGGAGCTAAGCCTCGAACTGCTTGGAGTTTCGTGCTTCGGGGCCCTTAGCTCCTCAAGGCCTTCCCAGTTGGGTGGGTTCTATAGGGTTCCTTAAAGGGATCTATAGGGTTCCTTAAAGGGATCTATAGGGTTCCTTAAAGGGATCTAGGCGGTTTAGGGTTTAGGGAGGATTTTCTTGAAGGCTCATGGGACTTAGTAAGTAAGGTTATAAGCAGGTTATAATTAGTATAACCCCACTTAGGGGACTTATAACCCCAATTATACTTACTAAGTCCCATGATCCTCTAAGTACTCAGACCCAACTTTAGCCTTCACTCAGCGTAGCGACGGCTCGAAGCTGTAATGCGCCATGACATTCCACCACATCTTACCCTAGTCTAGGGCTCCAGGTACCTAAATAGTAGGTTACCGGAGTATATAATCTATGCTTCGTAACCTACTATTTAGGTAATTGGAGCCCAAGAGTCGTCACTCAGAAGATAATTGTAAACTCTGGCGTACGGTATCCTACTTGTCGGGTATCATGGGGAACTAAAGGCTAACCTTTTCGGTTCTAAAGGGATTATATTAGGGACTATACTACCCCAAAAAGGTTAAAGGTTACCTACTCTACTACTAGGTTCCTGGATTCTGTGAAACCTGCAGATTTTAGGGCTCCCCATTATATTTTAAGTCCGTAAAAACGTAGGTTGCTTGGGGTCCGGGTTTACGACAGCAGTAGAGGAAAAGCTTCTGAGCTTAGAGTCGCATCAGTGCTAGACTTGCGGATTGAAGCTTCAAGAACAGGGCTTCGGCGGTGTCCCCCTATGTTTCTGCAGGTCCTGTACCGGAATTCAGAAGGGCCGAGGCGCATGAAGATGGCTACCAGAAGCTCCTCACAGGATGCTCAAAGTTCAAAAAGCACCCTTACTTAAGGGCTCAAGGGACTTAGCGTTACAAGGGGGGGGTTATAAGTGCCCCAAGTAGCGGTATCCTAGAATTATATACCTTACTTGCTAAGTCCCATAGGCCTCTAAGACAACATTTCCATCCTGGTGGGTTGAGGTGGCTGGAGAAGCCTAAGGGTTCAAGTATCCGAACATTACATCTCCCCCGCCCGGCTATAAACCCTAAACCCCCTCTAACAACCCTAAACCCTAAACCCCCTCTATATACCTTCAACCACCTCTAAAAACCCTAAACCCTAAACCCCCTCTGCGACCAGCCTATGTTGCTAGAAGCCGAAGCCCCCACGTAGCCATGAATTTGGGTCCTTGGAAAGCTCCTTGGGAATCCTTGAACCCCAAAACCCTAGCCCCTAAACCCCTAAACCCTATAAACACTGAAATCCCCTACACCCTAAACCCTGTAAACCCCTGAACCCTCAACCCCTACACCCCAAACCCCGAGCAAAATCAAATGAAGGCGGGCTCCTGAGCTGGAAGAGCAAAGACGGCATAGGCCTGCTCCAGGAACTTTCGGGCACCAGAGGTTAAGGGTGTAGGGTTTAGCGGCTGATTTAGGGTTTAACGGCTTAGGTGTTTTTATGAGCTCCTTTTCTCCAGTCGCCTGAAAGGGTTCTGTGAGGCCACGGGGCTTAGGGTTTAGAGGTTGGGGGTTTGAGGTTCTGCGTTTTAGGGGTTCGTGTCTTCGGGTTTTGATTCCGCGCAGGGCTTCGTCTCCTTTTCGGGGTCTTGGAGCTAGGGGGTGTAGGCCTTGACATCCTTTGGCATGGGCGTTTGGACTTTGAGGTTTGGGGTGTTGAAGGTCGGGGATATCGGGTTCCACAGGCTTTGCTACATCACTACTTTTGTATACCTCTCTGTATTCCAATCCCTTGAACCCCAATGTTTGATCCTCTGAATTACTGTCCATGTTATGCCTGGAATCCCGTCCTCCAGCAAAACCCCTAAACCTCGAAATCCTCAGCCTCCCCTTACACAGTAGCCTGGCAGGGTGGGTAAGAAATGGAGCGGCCCCAACATCAACCCTTCCACAATAGGATCCTTATGGCAGGGGCCGACGAAATCAGGAACGGCCCCACGGTATTCCCTTATGAAGCCCTCCCAAAATAATACCACCCCCCCAAAGTCCATAAAAGCTGCCCTTTGCTGCAAGCCCTAACCCTCCGAAACTAACTACGGTCCCATATAGTACCCCCCCTCAAACCCCTGAAAGCCTGAAACGACCCGATTAGAGGACGCTAGGTAAATCGCGAATAATCCAAGAGTAAAAGGAGGGACCCTTAATAAGGACCCTTAGGTATATACCCTTAATATGGCTACTATATACCCACTATATAGCCCATTATAGGCTAAGGGTCCCCTTTAAGGGTCCCTCCTTTTCCCTTTGAGATAAGCGACCATGGGACTTAGTAATCGGGGTTATAATTGGGGTAGCTATACTTATAAACCCAATAAAGGTACTTATAACCTTACTTACTAAGTCCCATGACCCTCCAAGTGGGTAAATCGCAGAAAAGCGACCATGAAGGAGCTCCGAGCATTGCTGCCCAGAGCACAGCAACGAATGAGAAACCACGCCGCCCCCGCGAGGTCCAAAAGCATGCCTTGCGCTTTGTTTAGACTGGACCCTTAGGGCTACAGAAGTCTAAAGTTTAGACTTCTGTAGCCCCAAGGGTCCATGTACCCAAAATAGCGGATACTTTGGCCCCAAGTATCTAATAGGGACTACTTTAGCGCCTATGTCTATACATTTGGGCACATGGACCCTTAGGGTAGGGTGCAGGTTTTGGCGCTTGGGGTTTCGGGCTTCATGTAATTTATAAGAGCTCCTACACCCCAAAACCCCCAAACCCTAAACCCCTAAACCCTAAACCCCTAAACCCCTAAACCCTAAACCCTGAAGCCTAAAGCCCTAAACCCTAAAGCCCCAAACCCCAAACCCCTAAACCCCTACACCCTAAAGCCCTAAACCCCTAAACCCTAAACCCTAAAGCCCTAAACCACTAAACCCTAAACCCTAAAGCCCTAAACCCCAAACCCCTAAACCCCTAAACCCCTAAACCCCTAAACCCTAAACCCTAAACCCTAAAGCCCTAAAGCCTAATGCCCTAAACCCCAAACCCCTAAACCCCTACACCCCTACACCCTAAAGCCCTAAACCCCTAAACCCTAAACCCTAAAGCCCTAAACCCCAAACCCCTAAACCCCTAAACCCCTACACCCTAAAGCCTTAAACCCCTAAACCCTAAACCCTAAAGCCCTAAACCCCAAACCCCTAAACCCCTAAACCCCTACACCCTAAAGCCGTAAACCCCTAAACCCTAAACCCTAAAGCCCTAAACCCCTGCACCCTAAAGCCCTATACCCTAAACCCTAAAGCCCTAAACCCCAAACCCCTAAACCCCTAAACCCTAAACCCTAAACTCAGGCCCGGACTTGGAGTTTCGGGTGGACGGTGGCTACGGGATCACGGGAGGTTGGTGCGCGGGACTTGCGTGCCCAGACCCCCGGGAGGATCTAAGGGTTCCTTTAAAGGGATCCTTAAGGGTTCCTTTCAGGGATGTATAAGGGAGTTACAGGGTTTAGGGTTTAGGGTTCCCAGACCTTCCAAAAACCCCCTTAATTAAGGAATATACCTTACATAATATTAAGGATCCTACTATAATTTAAGGTATAATCCTTAATTAAGGGATTTTGGAAGGTCTGGGTAGATCCCCCAATTTGGGGCCCTATACCACGAAGGGTACAGGATAGGAACACCCATTAAGGGATCTACTTTTTGGATCCTCCCGGGGGTCTGGGTGGGGAGTTCTGCTACAACCTGTAGATGATCCGACAGGAACCCTACAACCCTAAACCCTACACCAATAGGGTGCTACCACTTTCGTCCCAAAAACCTAAAGCTTAGCCAAACTTCGCTGCCCCTAGGGATCAACACAGCCTTATGTAGTATGGTCTTTGGGCCCACAAGCCTTAATATATGAGTCCTTAGATCCCTAAACCCTAATTATAGATCCCTTTAAAGGGCCCCTTATAGATTCCTTTAAAGGAACCCTATATGAGTCCTTAGATCCCTAGACTGCCAAGGCGCTGAAGGAGAAGAGCACATCCAGATACTCGGAGCCGGGATCTGCGAGGGCCAAACCTGACGACTGAAGGGTTCAGAGTTGAGGGTTTAGGGTTTAGGGTTTAGGGTTCAGGGTTTAGGGTTTAGGGTCTAAGGGATTAGGATTTCGAACTGTAAGAAATTATGGGTTTGGGAAGTCGAATCCTGGGTTGAGGAGTTCGAACTATTGGTTTAGGATTGAGGGTTTAGGTTGACGACATAGACCCTGCATATGGCGTATGTAGTTCAGCAAAAGACCATCCATAGTAGTGTTTCAGGGACCGACTTCGCAGTGGTAGTATACATGGAGCCTCTGGGAAGCTGCCGACTTGCTGGGCCGAAACATTCGGGCTATGCCTTGAAGTTGATCGCTTGCAAGCGGCGATTTTCTTATGCGTTGCGATGGCGCTAGAACTTCAGTTTCAGGGCTTTTGAAGGGTTTATAGGGCTTAGGCTCAGGGTTCAAGGTTTAAGGTTTAGGGTTTTGTTGAGACGAAAGTCAACATCCTTTGCAAGAGGTTGCCAATATACTCAGTGACTCAACTTTAGCCTTCACTCAGCGTAGCGACGGCTCGAAGCTAAAATACCCCATGACATTGCACCACATCTAACCTTAGGGATCCAGTTACCTAAATAGTTGGTTACTGGAGTATATAATACATGGTTAGTAACCTACTACTTAGGTAACTGGTGCCCTAGGGTCACTCAGAAGACTACTGTAAACTCTGGCGTACGGTATATGAGAACACGTAAAAGCCGTTGGGTCGCTAGGTGCCAAGACGCAAAGGTTTCGTTATAAGCCCCTAAGGGTCCTTTAAGGGTTCCTATAAGGGGTCCTTTGAGGGTCTACTCTAATCGTTCTATAAGGGTTTAGGGCATAAGGGTCAGTGTGAACAACTAGTTATACTTAGGCCTAAAGTAGTCCATATATAGGTACTTGGGGCCCAAAGTATCTACCATTTGAGTACAGGAACCCTTAGGGTTATACTGACTCCGACACGATGAACATATGTGACATTTCATTAGGAAAAACGAAGTTGCAACGATAAGGACTTGGGTTTAGGGTTTAGGGAACCTTAAACCCTAAACCCGGCGACCATCGGTCTTCCCCTCTCGGCCGGGCGACGCTGCGACAGCGCCACTGCCAAAACTGCCGTGGATGCAATGGCCAAACTTGCCAGCCGCGCCCAGCCCGCGGAAAGCATGCCCCTGCTCAGGGCTGCAGATTTTGCGATTGAGGGTGCAGGGTCATGGGTTTAGGGTTCGGGGCTTTCCAACTTCGGGTTTAGGTTTTCAATGTTGGGCTGTCGCGGTTCAGGATTGCAGGTGTTCTGTCAAGTGAGATGGGATGTTGTGTGCGAAGGAGCTGCAAAGTCCGTTAGATCCGCGTGAACCGGATCCCCTCTGCTCTTTCAGCCAAGACCCTGTCCGACTTATTGTTGGCAAAGTTACGGGTTTAGGGGTTTAGGGGTTCACGGTTTTGGGGCATGCTGCTGCACATCTTCTTCGATCCGGGCGATCTCCGACTGGAACGGCTCCGTGCTGAAGAGCAAGGCTGGACTCTTTCCACTCTTGAAGAGATGCCTCAACTGTCCGTCGAAGCGCGGGCCAAACATGACTCCGCACGTGAAGTCAAGGATCTCTTGCGAGCCTGGCTGGACGCTGCCCTTCCAGGCGGAGTGCTTGTCGAAAAACTTCGCAGCTTTGCTGGGCGATTTCACTCCACGGATCACAGCGTATCATATTTTGCAATGAAACTCTCCCGGTTTAGGGATTTTAGGGTACAGCTCCAGAGGGGTTCTGGTGCCCATCCCGACATCCCCGAACAGCGACCGGCTGTGGCATGCTGCGGCCTTTTCTGCATGACATGTTGATGCGTCCCACCATATTCCCCATGAGCCAACCGGACTCACCCGTGCCACAAAAGCAATGAGCAACAAAGTCGAGAATGATACAGGGCGTTTTGGGATACATTAGAGGAGCAACCCTGGAGTGATCAAGGTGCCAAACGACACGGCCCAAAATGGCCCAAACATCGTGGATGTCTATCCTCTGCTAATCCGATACCTGCATTGCCCCATAGCAGTCTACACATCAACGGGCGAGCGTGTGAACAACGCATGGAGATGCGAGGCTTGAGTACCACTGTATAATATGGTTCTATGAAGCCCCACCCCCTAAACCCCATAAAGCCTACCTTTTTCAGGGCTCCTCAATATGATTTCCTTGCCTATACCCTAAAAAAGGGGGGTGCCTGGTTGTAAGTTGAGGGAAGCGTACTCTGTAAACCCTCAAGCCCTGAACCCTCAAGTTCCCAACTCCGCATCCCAAGACCCGACTCCTCAAACCGAACCCAAAGGCCCTATACTAGACCCAAGAGTAACATGGGAATAAAAAGGGTGCCCTTTTTGGTTTAAAGGGGCTTATAAGGGAACCTGAGCCCTACAAAAAGGGAATAAGGGCCTACTCCAAGTCCTAGTATATAACCTCAATGACCAACGGTTTAGAGTTTAGGGTAGCCTTTCCGTGGAGTCCTTGTCTGCATAGAAAGGTTGAGCAGACTACCCCACTACAAGCCGGCTGTGTTTCGGGGTATGGCCCTGAAACCAGCAGGTTTTTATGCGGACACACCGTGAATCCTAAAAAAACAAACCCCTATACCCTAAACCCTATGCCCCAAACCCTCAACCCTACAGCCAAAACTCCAAAAACTGAATACCCTAAACCTGTATGCCCCAAACCCTAAGTCCTATACCCCAAAACCCGATAAACTGTATACCGTATAAACCCTATGCCTATACCTTCAACCCTATACCCTAAACCCTATACCCTATATACCCTAAACCCTATCAACCGTCTACCCTAAACCCTATACCTAAATCTTAAACCCTATACCCTAAAGCAGCACATAAGCCTGGCGAGCCAGATCAACAAGGGCACCGCCACGAGCTCCGCGCCGAGGTTCAGGGCTCCCCCAAGTGGGCCATCCTCGCGGGGGCTTCCGAAAGGGTTCCACGGTCGATGATATAAATCTTGGATTACCCATAATGAGGAATCCTTAAGGTAATGCAGGATTTATATCATCAACCGTCGAGGCCTTAATAACTAGAATAGGGTCTTGGGGCCCAGTATGCTGTAAGTATAGAAACAAATTCGCAGAATAGTATCGGCAGTTTTTTCGGACACTTTTTTTGCCACTATGTTAGGTACTGTTATGGGCGATACTTCTCCTAGTCATGCTCGTAATGCTATTGAAACCCTACATTCTGCTACATATATGGGTGCTTGGCACCCTTTGGGATTTAAGGGCAAAGGGTTTAGGGGATTTTAAAGCTTTAGGGTCTGTTTACTTAGAGATCCCTTTAAGGAACCCTATAGATCCCTTTAAGGAACCCTATAGATCCCTTTAAGCCTTTAAGGAACCCTTTAGGGCCGGCTTAGGGTTCAAGTTTGGAGCTTTGGACTTTTACTGTTTGTGAAGCTCCTGTCTCCCAGCATCTCACAGCTTAGTGAAAGGCCCAGAGCTTGGGGTTTAGAAGAGGTTCAGGGCTTACCTACAGACTCCATTGTAGTTCCTTTTTGGGGGTTACCTTATAGGATCCTAATTATATATTTGGTTAAACCAAAAAAGGGAACAACAATGGATACTATAGGTAGAATGCAAACTCCGAATAGATTGTCGCGACCAAGCGGCGAGGTGGTAGACATCCCAGGGGCTCAGCAGCAGCAGAACAGCACCTGCAGAGCACTCCCTTGGAAGGTGTGTCTTCATCCCCCGCCCCCCCCTTCCACACACTTCCGCCCGGTCACGCGTGACAGCTGCAGCGAGCATGAAGGTAGCGGGCTCCAAGGCGAAGGCCGAGGAGTCCTGCCATCACGCTCATTTGCCAACTGGATTCTTGTTAGGGAGTTTAAACTATTTACATTGCTTGACTAACAGGATTCCTGACTTAGTGGCTATGGTAACTTAGATTATAAGCTCCTATACAGAACCCAACCACCCCACCGTACATCTTAGGCAACAGCTTGAGTCTGAACAGTTTAAATGCCAAAACAACTCCTACACCCCAAACCTGAACCCAGATGCCTGAACCCGCATCCATAAACCTTAAGTAAGCTACTCCCTGACCCCTGGTCCCTGGATCTTCATCCTTAAGTCTTCAGTTAAGCCGTGAACCCTAAATGCCCGAAATCATCGCCGGCTAGCTGTACCCAAATCTTGAACCCAATGCCAACCCCTACCTGGACCCCAAAAAACCTGTATGCTTACGGACTTTTAGAAGGAAATCATTATGGGGAACCCCCGAAAGGAAGGTTTTATCGGGTCCAGGGAACCCCTAAACCTTAAACGGTCCTTCTGGTCCCCACCACGCAAGACCGCAGAGCTAAGCAAGACCAGGCGCAGCATGGCCTGCAGGCACAGGGGCGGGGATACCTGTGTACTTAGAGGATCATGGGACTTAGTAAGTAGGTTAGGTTATAATTGGGGTTATAAGTCCCCTAAGTGGGGTTATCCTAATTATAACCTACTTATGACCTTACTTACAAAGTCCCATGAGCCTTCAAGCACCCTAAGGGTCCGACCGGAAACCCGGTATAGGTATAGGGCTCCTTTCAGGGTTTAGTGTATAAGGGTCCATGTACCCAACAGTCGATACTTCGGGCCCCCAAAGTACCTATACATGGACTACTTGAAGACCTTAGCATATACTATTTGGGTACATGGATGCTTACTGGTATGGGGTTCAGAGCATAAAGCTGTCAAACTTCTGAGTTTACGCTTCCGGCTCTGGGCTGACATAGCCTAGGAAGTCCGCGATGCATGCCCGGCTGCCGGGCTCTTGGGCACCTAAATTTGGTTATAAGCCATGTTACATATGCCAGTATAACCTACTACAGTAAAAGCCAGCAAGTTGGAACACCATTATCCGCATGCCCTCAAGGTAAAGTAGAGGGAATCCTAGCACTAATCATCCTAATCCATGTTCCAACTTTCTGGGGTTCACTGTATTTAACTGGAGACCTAGGGATCCACAACACGACGATAGGAAATTCTAGCAGGCATCTACGGTGCTCAGAAACACACTATACTACGCGACGGTCTCTGTATGCATGTATTCATGTATGCAAGTGTGTATGTAGGCACGTATTCAGGTACGGTTGGAGTCGCTGCATCCGTTGCTCGTGCTTAGCCTCTACAACTAGAATGGATCAGAAGGAGCCTTGATTCTGAACGGACCCGTGCTCAGTGTTGGCGATGACCCACAAAATCGTCCACGTTGGCTCTCCTTTGGGCCCTTATGAGGCCTGGAGCCCAAGCAAGGTGTCGGCTGTCTTCAGGATCGGCCACCTGGGCTTCTCCGCCCCAACCCATGGGGACACTCTGTAGGGCTTCCAAATTCTTGAAAGGCTTGTTGCTGCCTTGTCTCTCGTGCGCTTGAAATTGCTGGTGAAATTTCGGTGCTCTTTTGTTGAGTCTTATCGATTTCGGTGATCAGAGTCTATCAAAGTTTCAGAAGTCGCGTGAAGGCTGGGGATGGTCGGAGCTTAGCACTTGTCGCACTGATGTCACTCGACAATTCTGAACCTACAGTGTTTCTATGATAAAGCCTGAAGCTCGATATGCTTTTGGTACCCATCATTAGGGGTAGCTTAGGATTACCTATTTACTCTACTTCCTTAAGCCCAAACCAGAAGCGTCCCCTGATCCTGAAAGTAGTGGATGGCACCAAGCACTCTCAGAGACCTTAGAAGCTGCCCCCACCCTGTAATAGTGACTATAAGGATTATATCGGGGCCCTATTATATTCCTATTATACCACTATTACAGGGTGGGGGCCCCTTCTAACAGAGGCCCTCACCATTGTTATCCGAGACCCTGAGCACCCTGTAACCCTCGGGTTTGGGGTTTAGGGACCCTCAATGCCCCACAAACCACAAAAGCCATATACCCCGTGTAGACCCTAGACACGAAAGGACCGAAACTCCCTGAGCTAAGAGAGTAGGCTCAGGCTTACTTAAAGGATCATGGGACTTAGTAACTGGGGTTATAATTAGGGTAACTATACTTATAACCCCACTTAAGGTGCTTATAACCTTACTTACTAAGTCCCATGATCCTCCAAGTAGACCCTAAACCCTAAACCCTATAGATCCCTTTAAAAGGAACCCTATAGATCCCTTTAAGGAGCCCTTTAAGAGCCCTTATTAGTTTCCCTGCCCCTCCAGGGTATCTTCTGGTTCGCCGAACTGAGTGGGCCACTCTGCGTTGATGTCTTTCCAAAGACCCTCGTCCTGGCCAGGAGGAGCTAACAGACTGTAGCGCCACTATTCTATTCAAAACCCAATGAACAGAGTTGTAAAACCAGCATAAAACTTCTAGTCCTAAACCCCAATTAGGTGGTGATCGCAGGGCTTGAGTCCGAAAATTGTGTATGTGCGCATCGAGCGGGTACTCTACGAGGACCGACGTGTGTCCCCACTGATGGCCTACCAAATGTGACACTCCGAGGAACCCCAAAACCATTAAGGCAAAAACAAGGGTGAAGACAAGCAACAGAAACCTGCGCATGTCCAAACTTAAACACTGCAGCCGTAAACTATGAACCTTCTGAACGTCTACCCTGAACCTAAGACCTGGAAACTGTAATGCTGCACAATAGCCCTTCAGCCGGGCAACAGCCTAAATCCTAAAGCCTGAATATTCCAAACTGGGGTCTAGGAGTTAGGGTTACATGATAACCATCATGGAACCCTTAACCCTTTAACTCCCAACCCTCAAACCCTATAGTACTTGGAGGGGCAAGGGACTTAGTAAGTAGGTTATAAGTAGGGAGATAATTCGGGTAACTCCATTTGGTGCCCTTATAACTCTACTTATAAACCTACTTAATCCTACTTACTAAGTCCCCTGCCCCTCCAAGTGCCTGCCATGAAGGGAACCTTTCAGCCTAAAACCCGCCAACCCTAGGGACCTTAAAAACTCAAAAAAGAACCCTTCAACTGGGAAGCCCTTGAAAGGAAGCTTAGTGAGCTTAGTGCTCAGGGCTTTGGGGTTCAGGGGTTTAGGGCTTAGGGGTTTCGGGTTTAGGGTTCAGGGTTTAGGGTCTTGGGTTTAGGGGGGTCGGTTGTTTTGGGGGTTTAGGGGTTAGGTAGGGGTTTAGGGCTTTGCTCCTGCTTGGGGATGGCTTCGCCGCCGTTGTGCTGGCCACAGAAGATCAGGCCGGAGGCCAGGAGAAGGCAAAAGGTAAGGGCCAGGAGCCTACCAGGTTGGGAAAAAGGGTTTTGGTGCTTTTTAGGGGTCTACGAGGGTTCCTTAAAGGGAACAATAGGGTCAGGAGCCTTGCATGCTGGGTTTAGGAGCTTTTTTTGAAGTGCATCGGACCTTTTCGAGCAGCTGTTCGAGGTTTAGGGTTTTGGGTGTTGAGGCTTTTTTTCGGGTTTTTGGGTTTAGGGGTTTAGGTGTTAGGGGTTTTGGGGTTTAGAGTGTCGGGTTTCGAATCTAGATTTAAGGTTGAGGCTTCAAGGTTTACGATTTTAGGTTTAGGGTTTCGGAGGAGGGTGCCAGGAGGAGACAACAGGTCGAGGAAACGAGCTGTTTTCTGCTGTGGAGATCGTTTAAAGGTTCCTGGCAGGGTTCGATTATATCAGGGTGCTACAGGGTGTTTTAGGTCTTTCAGGCCTGTCCAAGCCCCTTTACGGAAATTATGAAGTTCTGGGGTTCTCGCATAAGGGTTTAGGGTCTGCGAGTTTCGGTTTATGAGGTTGCAGTAAGGGCTATAGAGGGTGGTAGTTCCCCAAACAGTGCGGTACAGGCGTGCACGGGGTTGCCCGGTGTGCATGGGGCGGCATGTGGGGTTCTACGCTGGAATTATCTGCTCCTTGTTCTAGTGTGCTAAACTTCATCGATGGCGACATCATGGGTAAGCGGTAAGCATAGTACGTATCGTCATAACAATGCGAATCATGTCATACGAACACTTCTCGTTGTGGTGTTCCTGTAACTATCAGGTGCACTGGTATTATCAGTCTGGTGCTGGCCTTTGTTTCTGGGTGGTGGAGCTGATGCTGCCGCTGGTGATCGTGGTATACCAGCATGTACTAATGGTGGTGGTGATGGCAGCGATAGTGGTGATGCCACTGCTCTTGTGGGTGAAGCTGGTGCTGTTGCTGTTTTTTTGGCGGTCGGTGGAGCGGATAGTGTAGGCTAGTGACGACATCTTTGATGTTGCGGGCCGTTCCAGCTTCTGACACTGCTGGCAGTACTGTCGTAGCTCTCCTCCTGTCTTCAACACTGTGAGTTACGGAGGTATGATGACAGCTCCGCTTCACGGCGCAATTGTGTTACGGTCTGATGGTCCTATGTCCTATGATTATAACAGCTCTTGCTCAGTCAAGGTCTTCGAGCAATGTCACGCCGTACTTGTTGTCCATCACGAGCGACACGAGTCTTTGGAACAGTGCTCTTTTCGTCAACGGCATTGGCTACTGTTATAATGCATGTTGTCGCTTTGGTGAGATTGTTACCATATGCCCCTTGCTGGTCTTGCTGCTCATGAAAGCAGGACTGCTACAAAGCCAATCGAACCATTGGCCCATACATCCTAAATCCCACAAGGGATCCTTTCAGGGTTGCTTCGCGGGTTCGTGTTAAGGGCTCCTTGCAGGGATCCCTAAATAATGGTTCCTTGGGAGGAGAGCAGCAGAATGCAATGCTTTCCATACTGCCGTCGAGGTACTCTGGTGCCAACCGACGTAGTTCGTTGAAGAACACCGACGGCGTGCCTTGTGAGATTGGCCCGCTTGAGGCTTCTTCAATCTGTCGACACTAGAATTAGAATATTCACCTACACTCCAAGTTGAATCATTCAGGATTATGTTATGATTCAGGTATGATACGAGAACACAGCCCCACAACCGTATTCAGGCCGCATATACTCTGATTCAAGCATGATGATGACCTCTTCTCACAGATCCAGGAGGATAAAGCTGGGAAGCCAGCCGCGTTGCGATGAAAACATGCGCAGCAGGGTTTTTCGGGGTTTAGGCTTTGGACTTTGGGTTTACTTGGCAATCAAACTACGGCCGAACTTCGCCGCGCCGTTGTGAAGCTCGCGCGAGTTAAGCTCATGCACATGCTCTCGGTGGAATCTTGCCCGAAGCCCTGAACTTACTAAACCCTCAATCCTAAACCCCAAACCCCTAACCCCACATCCCAAACCCTAAACCCCAAACCTAAAACCCTTAACTCCAACCATCCAAGCGGGACATAGGGCCTGCGAGCTGGCGTTCCACGAGCCACACCTCGGATATGAAGCTAGGCTTTAGGGGTTTGGGGCTTATACGGTTTAGGGTTATTTTGGGGTTTGGGGCTTAGGGTTTCGGGTTTAGACTTTTCTTCGCAATAAACCCCCGGCCTAAATGACTCGATCTGCCAAGGCGTGAGGTTTCCGGTCGTAGTTTTCCGGTCGGAGGCTTTCGAATCACAGCCTAGCATGTCAAAGCAAAAGAAAAGACCATAAACCCGAAAACCTAAACTCTGAACCCTACAAGCCTAAACCCTAAAGAGCCCTGCACTGTAACCCTAGATCCTAAACCCTACAAACCCAAAGCCCTAAACCCTACAACCCTAAACCCTAACCCTAAAACCCTAAACCTTAAAACCCTGAACCGCTACAAACACTACGCCCCTAAACCCTAAGCCGAAAAAGAGGTCACTCTGGCTCTCTAAAGATGGAAGCCTCAAAAGGTGGGATGAAGGTAGGTACGATTAAGGATCCGGCTTTTAAGAAGCCTTATTTTGGGATTACCTCACCTACCTTCATCGCAGCCTTGGAGCGCTTTGATTGAGATAAGGGTCCTAAGTACCTAGCTTGTTGAATGTCTGGTTTCTGTAGTACGAATTACACGTATGATTTGGCAATGGGGAAGTATCCCACATAACAGTATCTAGGACCCGCTGGGTGAAGACGAGGATCCGTAAGAGCAACTCCCGCCACAGCCGCGGAGAAAAGCCAGTCCTGAAGAATAACAGCAGACAATCAGTCCATACATGTGCATGTGTATTCATATGTGCATACATATGATATACATGTATACTATACACATACGTATGTACACGATGTGTGTATATATGCATAGATATCTAAAGCAAGGAAGAACCGGACTACTATCATCTCTCGACTGTGTATTGGTTAGTAGCCTCACTTTGCCTGCAATGGTTGCTCCGAAGTGTATTCCAAGGCAGCGGAATCCGGATCCTGATTTAATAGGGGGACCCAGACCTATGACTCCTCCGACCTGGGAAAGGATCGCATCAGATGGGGGAGGGGGAAAGCTGCCTCAACAAGGACCGGAGATAGACATTTAGGGTTCCCAACCCTGAATCCTTAACCCAAAACCAAAAAAAACAAAACTCTAAACCCCCTGAATCCTTAACCCAGAAACCCAAGAACCAAAACTCTAAACCCCCTTAGGCCCCCTTCCGGAAGTCCTGGGTGGTGTCAGCTGGCAGGGACTCGGCCGATGCTTGCACCAACACAGCCATCTCCGAGCAAAAACCTGAGCACTGCCACCAAAAAGCACATAAGCAAAAATTAGGATAGGGATATCCCATATACACCCCCTTAACAGGAAGCCCAATAAGGTAGGGATATCCCGGTAAAATGCTTATGCTTATGTGCTTTTTGGGTCCCTGATGAGCACTGCCACCTACGGTTGATGATATACATCCTGCATTACCCATAATAAGGAAGATGTGGGAATTATGGTATATTTCCCTATTATGGGTCATGCAGGATTTATGTCATCAACAGTAGAAGACCGACTCTTGGAGTGTCGCGGGGAGATCCTGCTGTACAAATCTATCCATATACAGACATATGCATGATCACATAGTCTTTTACATATATGCATATACACATATATACATATATACAGTTTTATACATACATACATATACATTACAGTTATACATATATATACACACACAGATGTACGTATATACATACATACATACACACACACACACACATTCATACACACAAATGTATACTGCGGCTTTTTCGAGGCGAGTCTGGTCGCGGGAAGGATGAAACTCGAAGCCTACCGTGGCTTGGGAGACTGGATTTGGAAAACACCATAAGTGATACGGTTAATGGCATAAATCCTGCATTACCCATTTTCGGATTTATATCATCAACCGTATTTCCAATCATCTTGATGATGATGATGAATATTACGTTTATTGCCTTTACTTTCTTACTAGCATTGTTATTAGCTTTGGGTATTGCTATTGCCATTATTGCTTTTAGTATTATGAGATCTAGCACGAAGGGTGCATGTACCCAAATAGTATGTACTCTAGTCCCACAGTACTTTCTAGGGTCTACTTTAAGGCCAATTCAAAGTATATACTGTTTGGGTGCATGAACCCGTTCGGGTAACACTAAGATGCAGCATCAATGACAGGAATGGATGGTTAAGCTCAAGGCAGGGAACGGCCGTTCGTTTGAAGCTGAGGCCAGACCGGCGGGTGTCTGGGCGGTTCAGGCCTCACCTACTTGCCGCCAGGTGGCACGTATGTGGTTCAGTACCGGAAGGGGGGTTTCACGGGTTCTTGAGCTGAAACAGCAAAGCGCAAGCACAAACCGTAAACCCTGAAACCCCAACAACCCAGCTCAGGAGCCAGGCGGAACACGGGCTGAGCTACGAAGGGTTACCTAGGCTAGACATGTCAACGGTGCTGCCTGTGTTGCAACAGGCAAGTATACTAGCTGACTAGCTGAGACAAATCGCATAGCGCACTGAAGCCAAAACGGATAAAACTCTGTCCAGCAGAAACCGGCTGCCATTACTCCTACTCCAACAACAAGAACAACTGCTACTACAACTCCGACGACGACTACTACTACTACTACTACTGCGGCTGCCACGACGACGACAACTAGAATTACTACTGCTGCTGCTTTTGCTGGCAATACTTCCAGCAGCAGTCGCAGTAGGAAGAATAAGGTGAAGGACGGCGCTCGGTCAAGCCGTAGGAAGTCCTGGCACTCAGTGCCTCGATGGTTTGCGGTAAAAGCATGATGATGGCGACGATGATTCTGATGATGGCTCAGGCATCATCATCAACATGACCAATATACCTTGGGCGACATCATCGAAGAGTAATTGTTCATCAACACCACCAACATGAAAAAAGTCATGGAATTTGTCATTGCAAATCACCATTGCCATCGCCTTCGCTGTCAGCTGTCATCGTTGTTGTTGCAAGAGCTGAGCAATAAAAATAATAGAAACAATACTCGTAACAATAATATTCATTGAATCATGACAACACCGATACTAGAACTACTGATAATAAAAATAGTAATAACATAATACTACTACTACTACTACTACTACTACTACTACTACTACTACTACTACTACTACTACTACTACTACTACTACTACTACTACTACTACTACTACTACTACTACTGATAACACTAGCAAAAAACATAAAAAAAAAAACAATTAAAAAATAATGATAATAGAAAAAATACTGCTGTGCATTTCTAGAACTTCGCTGGGCGCACCTCTAAAACCCTAAACCCCTAACTAAACCCTAAACCACTGAACCCTAAACCCTAAATCCTTAAACCCCTGAACCCTAAACCCTAAATCCCTAAACCCCCGAACCCTAAACCCTAAACCCCTAAACCCCTAACTAAACCCTAAACCCCTGAACCCCTAATTTCCAGAACTGCGCTGGGTGCACTTCTCGACCTGGTTGCAGAGCTCATAGAAGCGAGGCCTTCGCTTGTTTGGGAACCTCAGCTCTGCTAATTCCAGGGGAGTTTCCGAAAATGAGCGGGGGGTACCTTTAAAGGGATCCTTTAAGGGTTCCTGTAAGGGTTCTACAAAGGGTTTAGGGCTTTGGGAGTTTCCGACAATGAGCGGGTCTAGGGTTTAGGGTATTTTGGAGGTCCTTATATGTAAAAAGGATCCTACTATATCCCCCATCCTCAGCTCAGAGTTTAGGCTTTAGGGTCTAGATGTTTAGGGCTTAGAGTTCATGGTTTAGGGTTTAGAGTTTAGGCTTTAGGGTCTAGAGGTTTAGGGTTTAGAGTTTATGGTTTAGGGTTTAAAGTTTAGGCTTTAGGGTCTGGAGGTTTAGGGTTTAAAGTTTATGGTTTAGGGGTTAAAGTTTAGGCTTTAGGGTCTAGCGGTTTAGGGGTTTAGGGTTCAAAGTTTAGGCTTTAGAGTCTACAGGTTTAGGGTTTAGGCTTTAGGTCAGTGTAGGGAAACCCGAAAATAGTACTATTTCGTAATTACCTTTATTAGACTATATGTCAGGATGCGAAGAAAGTAAGGGGTGAAGTGTCGGATTCCTTGTAAGGGAATCGGGCTTTTGCATTTCAACCTACACCTTGTCAGTCCCAAAGGGTCCAATTACCCAGATAGTAGGTACTTAGTAGGTATATGGGCCCCAAGAGTATATACTATACTACTGTTGATGGACAAAATCCTGCATGACCCCAGAAGACTCTAAACTATGGCAACTATGGTATATTCCTTATAATAATGGGCAATGCAGGATTCTGTCCATCAGCAATATTACTTGCACCTTTTTTGTCAGTGCATTAGAGCCTGCATGGTCCTGTCCGAGCTGATTTCAAGGTTTCGGTAGCGCCATATGGGAGTTTCCGAAAATTAGGGGTACCCTATTTTGGGGTCCTTATAATAAGGATCTTACTATTGAGGGTACTATATTAGAGTCTCCTACTTTCGGAGACTCCCATATGTCAGCGACGACCGCAGATGCTCGAGCCCAGCATGGACTTCAAGCTCTGTAGAGAGCGAAACGCAACGTCCGATTTCTCTGTAAAGGCCACCGCCGGCCGGTTTTAGTTTTGACTCTTCACATGTATGTCTACATGTATGCACTTATGTAACTATGTATGTATGCATGTGTGTATCAATATGTGTGCGCATGTGTGTATGTGTGAGCATATATATATATACATATGTACATACATAACTAGATCTAGATGTGCTGTGTACGTACATGCGCATTTTGTCATGTTTCCACAGCACTGGCCAGGCAAATGATATCATATAACAATTGAACTAGTCAGGTGTCATGAAAGGTTGTGCCATAAGCAAACAGTACCAAACGAACTTGCATAATGTAGAGCCTTAATAAGTAGAATTCTGTGGGTGCCATTTGTACTATAGAAATAAGCAGGAATGGGCCAGAATCACTGAGCTTCTGGATACACTAAAGACTGCCATGTGCTCTTTCAACTATGGTGTGCAGCCATGCACGCAGTTGGATCAAAGGGCTTGGGAAGCAAGATGCATGTTCCTTGAAATCCACTTGAAGTGAAGATGGTGCGGTACAGGAAGCACCCGCTACCCTGGAGGCCGTAGGCTCATTCCACCATAATTCACACAAGCTCCATGCCGAGGCGTTCGCGGAAACTTGGGGCCGTAGGAGGTGAAATGCGAGGCCTCCAGCGGCTGAGAGTGGGACAGGACATATGCTCTTCGTCCTGGGTTCGATTTTAAACAGAAGCAGGCCGTAAGCTGCCTTTGTGTCAAGTTTGAAGGGGTTCATGGCTGCACGAAATTCAGCTAAGCCTTGAGTCCAATGCTCAACTTGGGCCCTCAAGTAATGAGCTCATGCCGAATGAAACCCCGAACTACGTACGACTATGCACCCTTGTAGCCTCCATCTGGTTGGGACTGCGGCTGCTACTTACCCTTGCAGACGCCATATCAAAAGAGCAACTCTGGCAGTATAGTAGAGTCTAACATCGGGTCTACCGTATGAGCTGAACTGTACGCAGAGTTCTGTTGGAATGATTTTGGAGGAGAGTTTTGGAGCTCATTATACGGGTATTGTCTTGAAAAGCCCAAGACAATACCACTGTTGAGGCTACGGTTTATACAAAGTATTTCGAGTCCTAGAACCGCCTCGAAACCCTAAACCCTTCACCGCAAAACCCTGACTAAGCCCATCCTAAACCCGTAACCCATAAACCTAAACCGCAATCCATAAACTCTAGACACTTAAAGCCGGTCTTCCCGAAGCTCCTAACCCCGAACCCTTCAGCTGCCTTACTCTAGGGCTCCAACTACCTAAATCGTAGGTTACTGGGGTATATAATGCGTGCTTCGTAACTTTCTATCTAGGTAACTGGAGCCCTGGGTTAAAATTGCAGTAGCCGACTGGGTAAGAAACCCTAAACCCTAATGGGGCCCGGGCCAAAGTGTTAATGGCCGAGTAGAGCGAATAGTAGCTCTGCCTGCGATTCGGAGGCTCTCAGGGAGGCCTATGCGCATTCATCAAGGAATATACTATAAGGGACTTATAGTAATTAGTATAGGGTTGTGGGGCCAATTTTTCCCTAACTATGATAAGATGATAAGGAACCCCCACAATAGTTTTGGTAATTAGTTAGGCCCTTTTTGAACCAAAAATTAACAAGGGGCTTCATATTATGTCTTGAGACATGTTCCTGAATTAAGGGGTATTGACCTCTCTGGGCTTCAAGC